GACTCCATAGAAGATGGAGTATTACCGAATTTTGTTTTGGACTCTAAGCTGGTACAAACTACAGGTAGGTTGGGGAAACCCTCTTTGATGAGGGTATATTTTCAATGCCAAATATATCCTGTATCTATCAATGACAGGTACATTTAGGGAGTATATTTGGCAGAGATCTTATCTGGTACAAAGTACAGGTAGGTGGGTGTAAGCTCTGGGATCAGAGACATATCTTCATGTTAAATTTATCTTGTGACTCTCCATAGAAGATGGAGTATTACCGAGTTTTGTTCTGGACTCTAAGCTGGTACAAACTACAGGTAGGTTGGGGAAACCCTCTTTGATGAGGGTATACTTTCAATGCCAAATAAATCCTGTATCTAGCAATGACAGGTACATTTAGGGAGTATATTTGGCAGAGATCTTATCTGGTACAAAGTACAGGTAGGTGGGAGAAAGCTCTGGGATCAGAGACATATCTTCATGTTAAATTTATCTTGTGACTTTCCATAGAAGATGGAGTATTACCGAGTTATGTCCTAGACTCTAAGCTGGTACAAACTACAGGTAGGTTGGGGAAACCCTCTTTGATGAGGGTATATTTTCAATGCCAAATAAATCCTGTATCTAGCAATGACAGGTACATTTAGGGAGTATATTTGGCAGATATCTTATCTGGTACAAAGTACAGGTAGGTGGGAGAAAGCTCTGGGATCAGAGACATATCTTCATGTTAAATTTATCTTGTGACTCTCCATAGAAGATGGAGTATTACCGAGTTTTGTTCTGGACTCTAAGCTGGTACAAACTACAGGTAGGTTGGGGAAACCCTCTTTGATGAGGGTATACTTTCAATGCCAAATAAATCCTGTATCTAGCAATGACAGGTACATTTAGGGAGTATATTTGGCAGAGATCTTATCTGGTACAAAGTACAGGTAGGTGGGAGAAAGCTCTGGGATCAGAGACATATCTTCATGTTAAATTTATCTTGTGACTCCATAGAAGATGGAGTATTACCGAGTTATGTCCTAGACTCTAAGCTGGTACAAACTACAGGTAGGTTGGGGAAACCCTCTTTGATGAGGGTATATTTTCAATGCCAAATAAATCCTGTATCTAGCAATGACAGGTACATTTAGGGAGTATATTTGGCAGAGATCTTATCTGGTACAAAGTACAGGTAGGTGGGAGAAAGCTCTGGGATCAGAGACATATCTTCATGTTAAATTTATCTTGTGACTCTCCATAGAAGATGGAGTATTACCGAGTTATGTCCTAGACTCTAAGCTGGTACAAACTACAGGTAGGTTGGGGAAACCCTCTTTGATGAGGGTATATTTTCAATGCCAAATAAATCCTGTATCTAGCAATGACAGGTACATTTAGGGAGTATATTTGGCAGAGATCTTATCTGGTACAAAGTACAGGTAGGTGGGAGAAAGCTCTGGGATCAGAGACATATCTTCATGTTAAATTTATCTTGTGACTCCATAGAAGATGGAGTATTACCGAGTTATGTCCTAGACTCTAAGCTGGTACAAACTACAGGTAGGTTGGGGAAACCCTCTTTGATGAGGGTATATTTTCAATGCCAAATAAATCCTGTATCTAGCAATGACAGGTACATTTAGGGAGTATATTTGGCAGAGATCTTATCTGGTACAAAATACAGGTAGGTGGAGAAAGCTCTGGGATCAGGGATATATCTTCATGTTAAATTTATCTTGTGACTCTCCATAGAAGATGGAGTATTACCGAGTTTTGTTCTGGACTCTAAGCTGGTACAAACTACAGGTAGGTTAGGTCTAAATTTGCACCCCTACACCGATAAATGGTGGTGCATGTCTTAATACGAGTGAAAATAATCTCGAAGGGACGTTAAATGCTTCAGGTAGGTTGGGAGAATCATGTATTTATTTTTGACTTTTACAAATGTCAACCTTTTACATGACCCTTTCTAAGACTTCAAAGAACCTTGAATCATATTCAGATACATAACACGAAAATTGTTGCACAAAAAGTTCATGTTGAGACTTTGTTTAATAACATTCTTTACGGGATATATTTCTCTTTGAAGGGAAAGCTGTAAAACAATGTATTCAAAAAGGACGTTTACATGTTACATAAGCACTGTAAAGGGGTGAAGTAAACAGGATTAAAATTTCTTAATACTGTTAAGTGGTCATGACAATTCTATTTTCATAAATTAATTGCTAAAAATATGTATATATTACTATATCGACTGGTCAAATGAGGATCATGGATGTCTTTCAACTTCACAGAAAATTTCTACACCAAACAATTACTTAGACTACAATACATGTGTAAAAATGTAATATAAATAACAAACCAAAATAAAACCTTTCTTTTGTTTTTCATGACATACAATTGCACCATTCTGGTCTTTTTCCGTATTTTTTTTTCGAGGGTAACCCCCTTCCCCCTCAGGAGAAGTGAACCTTCTTATACTGACACTTCTCGCCTGTTGAAGTCTTCGCCTTTACATTATTCTACACATGAATAGAAAGGAATATACGCATATATATAGGTATGAATACTTTATTAGATTATAAGAAAAAATCTAACTTACAACTTGAGTCGAAAAAAAATTGATTAATCTTTGAATTATGGAGTGACATGTGATCCACCTGATTAAGAATATATTGTATTCCACGTGTTTAACGCGACTTAAAAGATACTGCTTACACGGTGGCTCTCTTCTCAATCCTTAGGTAATGCTATATCAGGGTTGGATTGGGTGAAAAAATTGGGGAGGGGATCTTAAGATAGCCTCTAGACATATGTTTTTGTTTTGTTTTGTTTTGTTTTGTTTTGTTTGTTTGTTTGTTTTTTTTGGCAACGATACGTGCCTGTTTCCACTCGATAATAACACCCCCCCCCCCCCCGCATTCTCTATTCGCAATGCACATAAACATAAAATTGCATCATTCGAACAACAAATTAATATTGAAAGAAAAATAAATATGATTATATAGTTCAACGACTTTTATTTGAATTGAAATAAATCCACGATTGTCAACAATTTATCAATATTTGATAATTAATTTCGTTTATACATTGTTAATATAGACTGGCATTTCGACTTTTACGCGTACGACTTAATTTATAATTACCCATTGTAAATTAAAAGTGAAATAAATATTATTTAAGAATATTTCATTTCTTTCCGTATATTTTATCACATGTTGAATATTCCATGTACGAGTGAATAAATCCGCACATATTCACCCTACGTAATCCGCACACTTATGAAAGATAACTCGTGCTCATGAAAGATAACTCGTGTTCGCCTACCTGTACATTGTACCATCTAGCGATAACCTTTGAAAACATGTGTTGTTTGCAAACATTTCATACTGCCACACCATTGATACACTTGCTTGATTAATTACAAAAAAAGTCTCAAAGTTTATTTTGTGTTTTCCAAAAACAAACTGTAGTTATAATCCATATCAAATGTCACAAATACCTTAAAAGCAAATTAGTATTCGTTAAGTGATGAATCATCACCCTTCACACAATGCACTGTAGAGTGTTGTGTTACTATTATGACTGCATTCTCTTGAAATTGATATATGAAGTACAGACATCTAGGATTTTTTAAATAGTAATACACCACCATAAAATAATGCAGATATCAAAAATGTTTATATTAATTTTGCTCATTTGATTACTCTATTTAAATTATATAGATTAATCTTAAAATGAGATGGAATTTAAAACTTTAAAATAAATAGCATAATCAGATACTAGTAGTTGATAACTTTCTGTTTCTGTGCAGTAATAGTGTTATTGATATCGGATCGCAATAAAAATTGCAGCATGGTTCTTGACAGGGAATCAAGGTTAATCAATGATACAACATATATGTGCATTGCCAATTAAGCCAAACATGTTTTGTAAAATAATTTTCTGCTTCAACTTTTCCCCCAAAAATTATCAAAACAAAAGGTGATTTTGATAACAGTTTAATAACATTATATTGATGTTGTGAAACAATTGCATCCTATCAACCTGACTTTTAGGACCCTATAGCATTTGGTCAATTACTTGCATATCACATTGAGAGTATTTCTATTATTTTAAATAAAAAGGTCCTCGTCATAAAAAAGGCATTTTTATTCTTAATAACAACAGTTTTAAAGTATAAACCAGTAGCACTTAAAGTAACATTTCTCTGTTGTCTTGATAATTTAAATTTATGCTTTTAAACTCCTTACTGTGTAGATATCATAAAGTCTGCATTAGAAATTAAATAAAATTAAAGTCATAATCATTGTGCTATTTTAGCATTGATAGTAAAACTATATATATATATATATATATATATATATATATATATATATATATATACTTAAAATAAAGAAGAAAAACACGAAAAACCTCAATACAGCTTTAGGCCTTTCATTCTATCTTCAGAAGCTTTACAAAATAAACAACATTAGGTTACAGTTATAGTTGCACATTTACAAATCAACAGAAATATATTATTTATCTGCTTTAACTTAGAAAAACTGAAACCAATAAAAAAGAATCAATCAAATCAATCAAATTCTGAAAAGAAATCATTTTTGGATGAGGCCAAAGATTTTTACAGAGGCCAGATTTGAGGCCAGGCCAATGTTTGAGGTCAAGCCAAAATTTGGTTTGGAGCCAAATTAGAGGCCAAAATAGAGGCCAGAACAACTTAGAGGCCAGGCCAGGCCAAAGGGGCCAGGTCAGGTTTTATAGTATGCCGTTATGCGCAAACCATAAGTTTGTCTCTGATAAAGGAGTTGGCATACCTATTATTTTTTACGAAATTTTCAGCAAATAAAAAACACGAAATCCGATAATTATAGCATTATGTATACTTTTTTTTTAATTTGACAAGCATGCAGGAAGCAGACATTTAAGTTTTACAAACATGCCACAGCAGAAGTCGATATAGATTTCCTGTCGCTCTCAACTTTTTCATAAAAAAATTTCTTGTTTTGCTTAATTAGGAAAAATTCAAGATGTTTAGAGGAAAAGTTGCAATAATAACCGGTTCTGCACAGGGGCTTGGGAAGGCCTATGCCAAATCCCTTCTTGAAAGGGAGAGCAAGGTAAGAGAGAGAGAGAGAGAGAGAGAGAGAGAGAGCACTTATTGAATGAAAAAAGCAGTATATTACATATATACAAAATGCATTCAGATGTATAATAAAGCAATTAAAGTATAAACTAAGTTTGATAAAGAAACAGAAGTCAATATGGAGAATGTTAAATCCAGAAATACTGCGAAGGTAAAACATGCACCTTTTTAAGCTACGATTTTCTACTTAAATATTTTTCTGAAAAATTAAAATCTAAACATTAGGTTACAGTTACATAAACAAGAAAAAAAGAAATTCCCCGATATGAAGAATTGATACGAGAGGGAGAATAGAGGGAAACTAAAACGTATTAATTGTAAAGTTTACTTGACGAACAGGAGATTTATTTGTAGTGAGTCCAATGGTTTTTGTTTCTATCACAATTAGATCGAAAGAATAATTGTACAATTTGCTTCAGAATACACCACTTGCATAGAGCGACAAATCGACAAACAGAGTAGATGTATTTGATGAATTTGTTTTCTTATAACCAGTTCGCATACTTTTTGCATGCAGTGTAGCTGCACATCGCTTGCTTATCAATTCTGCATTTCAACATCTGTAATTCTGAAAATTTCTCATTTCTCTATACAAAATTTCTTTAAATGCTGTAATAACATTTAATTAAAAGTTCTAAGTGATGAATTGTATATCCTTTTGTATGAAGGATACATCACGGTGCCTGAAAACAATTAAGAACTACATCCACCCTTTATTTCTCACCATAGGCGTTTGGTTGCAGGATGGGGTATTTTTGTGTTGTGTATTTTTCTCTGTCTAAATATACTTATTAAGAAAATGTATTTCTTGCTCAAAAGTATGCGTCAGATCATGTTTTATATTTTAAGATTAGCATCTGTTGAGTGTGATTTCATTTGTAATTTTTGACACTGCTTGGATGATGACTACCCAGCAGAACATACTGATAGGAGTAATCTATAGACACTGCTGTTGTGTTCATTACATTTTAAAGGAATACTTTATTCTTTAAAAAGTGTAAATTGTTTACCAATTCCAAAATTAACATTTAAAAAAGAAATATTTATGAATATGAAAGAAAAAGTGAGCAAGCTCATATACCCCACCTCCCACATTGCTTAGCAATGCTATGTACATTTAATGAATGGTAATGCGAGGCATTAAATACAACAAATAATTCATCATCCATCCCCCACCTTTTACATAAGTTTGTCACATCAGAAGCAGATCTGTTTGTAATATTCGGAGGTGCACGGGAATAAAACATTTCAAAATCACGATCCACGTGCTAAACCGTTTCATACACGTTGCACACAAAAATATAGTATTATGACCATACTTCTAAGCAGAAAAAAAAATAAATCGGAATTTCCTGTGAATATGCAGATCTTCACATATGTCCTAATTAACTACAAAATTTCTGTTGACCAGTTTCAGAGGAGTTACGCTTATAAGCTGTTGCAGTAATATACTTAAAGGGGCCTGAACACAGTTGTTTATAATTTAAATGTCTATTTTTTATTAAAAAAATTAACTTCAGTTTAATGATTTGAACTTACATTTATATTCTTAGAATTCAATGACAATTCTTTATAACATCAAACGTCAAACACCTGTGTTTGTAAACATGGTACGAGCTCTGTTTTTGTTAGTGTTCACGTTTTACCGGGTGTGTTCAATTTGTTTAGTCTGCACAGATCACTGAGCACAGACTGACTGGTGAGTTGGTTTTGCTTTCTCGCATTACTTCTTTCTGAACTTTCTGATTACAGTTTTCTTATTTTACATTAATACACAACAAATTTCTACTTTTCGTATTATGGATAAAGTTTACGCTGTGAAAGTGCAAGGATATGTGTCAATAAAATGCGTCCCGAAATTCGTAGTTTAATAATTTTCAGATAAAGAAGTTTCTAGACACGCTTTTAATATATTTCAGTGTGAAATGCTCTAACAACACATAAGTCATGATATTTTAAAGAAAATTTTAGAAAATATGAGCTTCAAATCTGCATACCAGCCCCTTTAAGTTCGGCTAAATTTCTTAGTTCAAAAGGGGCATAACTCCCAGGAAAAAAAATGAATCAAAGGTTTTTGTAAATATGCTCATCTACACATTATGTCCTCATTAACTACAAAGTTTCACGAAATTCTGCTGAGCAGTTTTAGGGGAGCTGAGCTAACAAGATGAAATTTTTCGATGAAATTCTGGTTTACGATTGGTTGACGTCTGATACATGAAGTGGGTGTTATACTCGGTCGCTTGAAAAATCATAAGGGGTAGTCGTTCTATTGTAATAATTCCAGACTAGTTTCTTGAATTTTTTAATTGACAATACGAAGCTTGCCGAGTGTCTGCTGACAATTAAAAAGTTAACATCAGTAACGAACACACATTACTAGTATTTATGGAACCTTTTTCTCCCTTTACTAGATTCTTCAAGACTGTCTGTACGTTATTACTGCATGAAACACTCACAAAACAATAATACCCTCAACTGCTACTCGTTGATCAGGGTAGTATAAATACAAACAAGTAAATATCTGTCTCGCAATCCAATCATTGTTTCGTGTTGATACATAAAATATTTCTTTAAACGTGGAAATCAGATATTTCACTAAATGCCAATGTACATGTATAGTACTTTTTTGGTAACTGTGTTCACTTAAGGCTCATAAATTTAATATGCATTAAATCACATCGATGCCATTAATATTCTAAGCTGAAAGACTTTTAATTTTTCCCTTTATATAACTTCAGATTTAATAACCACCGAACTGTTGCCTGATTCCTGAGACACACCCTTGAAACCACAAAACATTTCTGATTTTGTCATAAAATAGCATATATTGGTCAGGAAGATAAAAAATCCTTCACAGTTATCAAAATAAAAGACATTTAGAGTTTACTTCATCTACAAGTGAATTTGCATTTTAGTGAATTGATCAACTGAACAAGAATACCATGCGTATCAACAAAATCAGACAAAGTTTTAGAGCAAAAATTGAAAATAATGAAAGGGTAAACAAACCATAACCGAATACGTAACAGTCTAAGAATTCATTTTCTTTACATGTAGGTTTGTATTTGTGATGTGAACAAAGCTGTTTTGGAGAAAACCTACACTGAATTTAAATCGGAGTATGGAGAAAATGTTATATTCCAGACTTGTGACGTCACCAGGACACAACAGTTAGAGGGTTGGGTTTTTTTTTTATCATAAAATCATTAACGTTTGAAAAAATATATATTTCTGTAATCTGCAGGAAGCTTTACCAAATTTTATGATTAGTCGTATGCCTATAGACAGAAAACGTTATTGTCAAACTCCATTTACTGTATGATCTTTCATATTTTTATTAATTTATTGACTGGGTTCGATGGGAACATGCGTTTTGTCTGACCCAGGAACCAAACTATTTGCTAGAGGCTGTTAGGCCGAAAGCAAACAGTTTGGTTTGAGCGGTCAACAAAACGCATTTTGCCCAAAACTTAACCAATGAATGTTTTGTTATACCTTTTATTTATTTATTTATTTTATTTATTTATTCTGGCGTACATGTATCTTGTGCTGGCTTCTATGAAGTAAATAACCTTAACCCTCACTGCGGTAAAACTCGGTCAATTCTTTCCGTTATTTCCCGATCATGACAAGGAGCACACGGCAGGTGTGACCGGTCGGCAGGGGATGCTCACTCCTCCACGGGAACTGATCCCACCTCTGATGTTTTGGAGGTTTGCTCTGCTCCTATTTTGTATTGTTTAATGGACTTTTGAGCTTGAATACTGTTCGTTATCTCTGTATATTTCATCACTGTCGAACACCACCGAATAAGATTTAGCTAACCCCGTCCACAGTGTGACGTAAGCAGTCCAATATCTCATCAACAGGTCCAATATCTCACTCTGTGGTCAATTTTTTTATGACCGCTAAGTAAAACATTGGAAATGATCAACTATTTTTAGTATAGATTTATATAGGAACCAAATTTTAAAGGTATAACAATAGATCTGAATAGGGCCTATATATTCAATTTAAAATCAAGAAATTGTTCTAGAACTTTTTAAGAAAACCAGAGATGCTTTTGGAAAGATCGACATAGTTGTGAACAACGCGGGGATTGTGGATGAGAAAGACTGGGAGAAATGTATCGATGTTAACTTGGTAATTTACCATGATGTCCAATTCATTAATGAAGAAACCAATCATCTGTTCAATTTCTTTAATTGAGTGTAAAAGTTTGCAGGGAGATTATACTGTATAGTACTATGTAATTTTTGATACTATAAAGTTAACAACTGGTAAAAAGATTATAACACAAAAGCTTTCCCCCAGTAAAGTGTGCAATGTACTGAAACACTTTTAGTAAACATTAAAAATAATATTTTCGAAAACTTCAATGTAATTTATAGAATGGAGTAATTAGAGGAACATTGTTGGGGTTAGAGTATCTCAGGAAGGATAAAGGTGGAAATGGAGGCGTGATCGTGAACATTGCTTCTCTGGCAGGTAAATACAAAACTTTCTCAAACTCAACGTATTCAAGGGCAGACAAACGTCATTGAGGTTAAGCTCTTTGCACCATTCCAATCAGAGGATCAATGATTAGCATTATCGTCTGCGTACACAATGTAACAGGGTTATTATCCCCTCGCAATTGAGTTGGAGGGGATATAGTAACGCGCTTGTGTGTGTGTGGGTTAGTTTGTCTTTGTTTGCGTAACGGAAGTGACGTAATTTGCATCGAGATTGATGTCGAATGCTGCCTTGATTTATAGATATGTTCTTTTGCGAGGAGATGCTCCGCTTTGTCTTAATTATATTAAAGATGACTGTACGAATGCACAAGCTTCAATATTTAACAATTTAAGTTCTATAAAGCCTTTATTATATAGCTAAAACATTTTTTATTGGTTTATGTTAATTTCTAAAATAAATTGAATCAAAATAAATGAGTATCTCATTAAGATTGTATAACATCAGTGTCTGTCCTGGAAGCGTTCAATATCATGTCACACAAAAATCCCTTAATACAAATATGATTTTCCTATCGAGGGTTGTTTTGAAGCTTACACACCTGTTACAGGTAATACCTTCTTCGATGATAAATACAACTTAATAAATTCTGCAATCCTTTGTGAAATTTTATTAACGTTGATCGACAACAATCCGTCGTTATTTGTTTACAGTGAGGTCTAACAATACATCGATGCAGTGTGATAGAGCATCGACACACAAAATGAAGAATCTACTTTTTTCTATACTTCAAGAAGCATATGATGTCCTGGTATGTTTTGGTTTCAAAATTAGAATAATTGCGCAAACAACAATGATAGTTCTAGCTCATTGAAAATCAAATGAAAAGTTGTTTCCTCTTTTTTTTTTTTTTTTTTTTTTTTTTTTTTTTTTTGAAAATCGACATTTTGCATTCTTAATACAAAACAAAAGAATAATTATGGAGAAACCTGTAAATTTAAAACTCGATATATCATGAAAAATTGCGATATTTTTGTGAAATATCGTGATACTTTTTTTCTTCACGATACACATCCCTAAGGGCGTATAATATAAGTTCTATTACTCCTTTATTATATAAAACAAAAGAAATAAAAATTCATGGCCATGAAATAAAAAATTGTGGCCAAGACATAGAAGTCGTGGCTATAAAATAAAAAAAGAACTGCAAACGATAGTATTGTTCTCCCGCTTACCTAAAAGTCAATTTTCAAAAGTTAAAAAATTTGAATGATTTTTTATATTTATATAGATATTTATATAAAATTTCATAAAACATTAGTTCTTTGGGAAAATCACTATAGAAATCAACGGAAAACGGAAAATATTTTTAAAACATCCCCCCCCCCCCCCCCGAAACAAAAATTCCTTTTTACAGGTAATATGGACTGTCATTTCACAAATTCATACCAAAGCTTTTTGTGTTTCACGGGGAGGGACATATGTTTACAGACAAAAAACTACAAAAATGCTTATTTTTTTCACCATTTTTAAAGGGGTTTACAACTAAAACATTGTACAGTAAAACTTGTCTAATCCGGACACCACTCGTTCCAAAGAAATTGGCCGGATTAGACAACATTCCGGATTAGACAACATTTTAAACAAATGAATTTACTGAAAAGGACTTAAAGATTACATCGTATTGGGCAAGATTTTAGATTACACAACATCTGGATTAGGCAAGTTTCACTGTATCTTATTAATTATATATGTTTAATTTTATATGCGTAAAACATAAGAACAGATTTAAGGAACATTTATTCATATCCAAGAATATTTTCAAATGTGGTGATGAATTAAAGCCCGATTTCAATGGAAAATATCGTCTACCCCCCCTTTTTTTTAAAGAGCTGGAATTAGAGGTAATTAACTATTTAACACTGGCATTAAAACTATCAGTCAATTACCATGGAACTATTCTTTGCATTCAACAAAGATTTTACGGCCAAATTGCCATTAGTATTGAATTACATGTGTAAATGGGTGTAAAATGTAGGCGGGAATCGAGAGTTGGCGTACGTAGTTCTTCATGGCAAAATCAAACAGGTCCATACATGTATAATGAAAATATAAAACATTTTAAAAAGGATGACTGCATTTACGGACATGCAAAATTTGCGACAAAATAAACTTTCAAGCATTTAGTTCGAACACGTTTTAATCATCTGGCATTGATATAAATTCTTCTTTTTTTACATGGACGTGCTCATATTGTTGATTTCGTTTTGAAACCTTTGTCAGTAGTGTATTTGAGCCATACAGAATGTAGAGGGAGATGGGAAAGAATGATCACGTTTTTTCCCAAACATGTAATTGTTATTTATATAGTCTAATTTTAGACCCATTCTTACAATGTTATCTCCACCTATCATGCATATCCATGCATATCCAAAGTTAACCAAGGGCAGGTAAGTGTAAATTCTCTATATTTGGAAATTAGTAAGGACAAAAACATCGTATCATTTTATTGTATTACAGTCTACAATCATTTTAAGATTTAAATGTGGTTCCAAATTGGCAGTATTCTTTCACAAATATACAAAAGTGAAGTAAGGTTAAGATATGCAAAAACAACAGAAGCAACCGAAAAAGAACCAAAACCCGGCGTTAAGTGCAGTCATCCTTTGTGCAGACGTGCAGATACTAGTAACCGAGACAATATACAATTATGGACTCTTTCAGTGGTGAATATGGTTTGTTATTCACCAGAAAAATATCAATATTGACTTCGCCTCGGTCAATATTGATATTTTTCTGGTGAATAACAAACCATATTCACCACCGAAAGAGTCCATAATTGTTTTATTATATAGTCCGGATTTAAATAAATAAGACATTGAAGGCTGCATGATGATATCACTTTCATTTACGAACTTCTGTCGTGGAAAAATAAAAAAAATGTCCAAATTACAAGTTATAGCTTCCGTGTTTTCCTTTTGCTGTTTTTAAGACATCGAAATGTTTAGAAAATAATCCTGCGATAGGCTTGGCTACTGTTTTTCCTGCTCAGATACACAGCTGGCTCTTGCCGTTGCAACCATTGTTTACAACGTTGTTTGAGATGTTGATTGTGACGTCACAATGCCGCTGCACGCGCACCGACCCTCCGGTGAATACGGCTTCAAAACCAGTGAATATGTAGTGTTGTGAACTGTTTGCGTTTGTATAGATTATATAGTGACTATAAATAGACTATATAATAATATTCATTATATCCATATTTCATATATGTACTTTGTGCTGGCTTCCATGATGTAAATTTTTTTACACGCACTGACTTCAAATTCGGTCAATTCTGTCATTGTCGAACACCAACGAATGTAAAGAAGATTTAGCTGATCCCACCCACAGTGTGACGTTAGCGGTCCAATATCTCCTCGACAGGTCCAATATCTCACTCAGCGATCAAAGCAAAAAATCATTTTTTTTGTTATGACCGATCAGTAAAACATTGGTAATGTAAGACTTTTTTTAAGTATAGATTCGTATCGGAACCAATTTCTAAAAATATAAAGAAAGAGAAGTAAACTTCACCTTATAAAATTAATGTGTCAGTTTTATCATAACTGTATGGTTATAAACAGAACCATGTTGAAATAAACGGATGTATCATTATTGATTCATAATATTATGATACATCACGAAAACTGTGACTTTCATGCAAATTATTTACTGAAATGGTGTTAAATTCAACAATTTGTCTTTTGGATATTAAGATTTGAATTTTGTGCTGGTTAGATACTATAACCTACGCATGTTTATAATGATTTATTATTTGTTAGTACAAAACTGGTCTGTTCATAATGGTTAAAATTATCTCGTTTGGTTTTATGCATTACATTTTATCAGCTAGATTAGTCAATATTTATATCAACCAAAAACCTTTTTGCACAAGTATTGATCAGAACACGTTTTATGTATAATGTACTAGTATCAAGAAAAACAACTTTTTTGCAATCTGTTAAAAGACTGTAGTAAAAAAAAGCAAAGTTAGAAAGACAGTTTTGAACCTGTCATATTTACTTAACATACAGAATATATACTTAAATAATTCGTGGCCATGAATTTATTTCATGCCCATAATGTTTGTATTTGTGGCTACGAATTTTATTACGTGATCACAAATTAATGAAAATTTTCTAATACTGTGCCCTATATCAGCCACCTTAAAAACGAGTGATATTTTTTTTTCACTTCACTATACATATTCTTTATATGTATAATTTAAACTTTCTGGCAGGGCACAGTTGCAAAAAAATTGATAGAATTTTTCTAAATGATTAAGTTTTCATACAGCATGGTTTAGATATATACAAATTGCTGTCCTTTAAAAAGGACTGCAATACGTGGACCACATGCATGTGTTTCTAACAGAAAGCGAAGAAAAGTTTCTAGGTTTATTGAAAATAGGTATTTTAAAATTAAAATTTTCAAATTTAATGCACAATTTTTTCAGCATGATCTAAGAAGTCTAATTGCTAAATTTGCTGTATTAATAAATTATAATATTATTACCTTAATATTTAATGTTGATCTAAGTATCTATCATTGTAATGTAGCCGTAAGACTGAACCACAGAATTAAAAGAGGCTTTCACGTGCACGTATCACGCCAGGAGCGTCTGGATGGTTAAGGACAAAAAAAATTTCCATAGTGCGAAAATGAAGATTGACAGCTAGCCAGCTAAATTTTTGCAAGCTGATTTACGTCGAAATTTGTAACTTATGCTTTGACAATCACGGTTGGTAGAAGAAACAATCATATCACTGACGTGTTTACTTTCTTTGTTTTTTTTTTTTAAGCTACTGTTTATTCCATGCGATTCCCATTACGGACATATCCTTATAACCTTTTTTCTGCGTATCTGTACAACTGGATCAGTTTATTTGTCTTCTAGAAAAGGGTGACACAGTCATTTCGCGCCAAATGTCATGGTACTTCTTTGCGCCTTTCCCTTGGAATGTTCTTTTGTTTACATAAATTTTGTTCATGTTACATCCTTCTCATGACACGAAAACAATGGTAATGAAATATTTCGACCCCCCTCCCCCCGAAAAATATAATAATCAATAGTTAGTGTAGGATTCAGCAATATCATCAACCTTTCCTATCCATTTCAAGACTCATATCGTGCTATTTATTATAATAAAACTGAAACCAAATATTGAATTTTAATCATTTTTTGTGCCTTAGGGGTGTATCCTGTAAACTATGGCCCGGCCTACGCAGCAAGCAAACACGGTGTGATAGGATACACCAGAAGTTGGGCTGTAAGTACATGTACAAGTAATAAATATCTACAAAACAATTGGATAAACCAGAATTGAGCTGTAAGTACATGTACAAGTAAAAAATATCTACAGAACAATTGGATAAACCAGAAGTTGAGCTGTAAGTACATGTACAAGTTATAAATATCTACAGAACAATTGGATAAACCAGATGTTGAGCTGTAAGTACATGTACAAGTAATAAATATCTACAGAACAATTGGATAAACTAGAAGTTGAGCTGTAAGTACATGTACAAGTTATAAATATCTACAGAACAATTGGATAAACCAGATGTTGAGCTGTAAGTACATGTACAAGTAATAAATATCTACAGAACAATTGGATAAACCAGAAATCGGGCTGTAAGTACATGTACAAGTAATAAATATCTACAGAACAATTGGATAAACCAGAATTGAGCTGTAAGTACATGTACAAGTAATAAATATCTACAAAACAATTGGATAAACCAGAATTGAGCTGTAAGTACATGTACAAGTAATAAATATCTACAGAACAATTGGATAAACCAGAAGTCGGGCTGTAAGTACATGTACAAGTAATAAATATCTACACAACAATTGGATAAACCAGAAGTCGGGCTGTAAGTAAATATACTAGCAATAACGATCTGTAGAAAGGAAGTTTTATCATTTTGGATGAAAATTAATGTCTCTGTCTATAAAAATAGACTGGCGTCATTAATATATATCATAAATATAATGAATTCTGTGAAAGATTACACTAGACGATGGGCTAAATACGAAAAAGAAGACATTCAAACTTTTACAGAATGGATTAAAAGTATCAGATGTTGTTGAAATCTTATTAAGCGATAGGGGCAATATGGAAAAACAATCTTTTCTTCTGTCTTTCACAATGCAGAAGTGAAACAAGAATAAGAAGGATAACACGATCAGTATGTACTGGTTCCAGCTGACAAAGCAGGTAACAACATTGTCTGTGTAAGGCTCATTATCTAAATTGTACTTTAGAGGACCTAGGATTTAATTCTGCAAGTGGTAATGCAACTTATACCAATAGCTCCCTTTCTAAGGAGGAAATTCTTCAAAACCATATGTCAGTTTGAAATATTTTTAATATTCCCAACAGTCAAAATGAATTTGAATTACCATACCTTTACTGGATTTCAGAACTCCTTAAAATTCCTTACGAACTAATATAAATAGCGGTTTTCAGTAAATGTTTTCCCAAGCCCCTTTCTTTGCTCCTCACTGAAATATTTAAAGCAGTAAAGGAGAAACTTCAGAAGTACTGTACAACATATATTCCCGAAGTGGTGTAAATCAACTCAAAGGAACTTTTAGAAAATTTGAAATCGCAAAATTTTACCAAAATCAATAACATCAAAACGTACGACTTTTCAACACTTTATACAACCATTCCCCACGATAAATTAAAGTCTAAGCTTTTTCATTTCATAGCTGCTTTTTCAATAAAAATGGTACTCGGAAATATACTTACCTTGTCATTGGTCATTTGCAAAATTATTCTATTAAAAACATTCTGATTGTACACACGGGTAATCTGAAGTTGACAAAAAACGTTTGAGTTTCTGATTGACAATAAATGTGTAGTTTTGGAGATCAAGTCTTCCAACAATCTGTCGGAAATGGGTATCTTGGGTACTAAGTACCAATTGTGCCCCGTTATTAGCAGATCTACTTTTGTATTCATATGAAGAAGAATTTAATAGGTACCTAGGAGGAGTAAGCACCCCCTCTGTCCACCGGTCACATCCACCCTGAACCTATGCATTGATCAGGTACACGTACACTGTAGAAAGAATAATCCGAAGTCAATTTTGGCACTAAACAATGGTCTAACAATTGGTAAGAAACTAGGTTGCATTTGTAAACAAGATCATTCGACTTGCTGACTTTATATACCAAAAGCTGTTAATCTTTATCATTAGGAATGAAATACAGTCATTTCTTAGTTATCCATATGATAGAAATACACTTCAAGTTGTGCGTTAAGGAAATCTTCATTCAGATTTGTAATGAATGTAATCTTTCCACTTCTCGGAAAGTGATAGGCATTAAAATCATAATTTGGACGACTTTAAAAGAAAGAGATGCATACTTGATTTGTTAATGAAGACGTTTTTCTTTGAATTTTCAGGTTACGATTCAACAGTTACTGCTTTTTATTCAGATATAAGAAATTAGTAAATGTCAAACTCCAAGAATCAAGCTGGAAAATGATAATTTCTTTCTACACGTGAATTTTTTTCAGACACATCCTGAGGTGATAAATAATGGTGTTCGCTTAGTTTGCTTGTGTCCCGCATTTGTCGACACAGATATGCTGAATGTTGAAGAAGAAAAAGTTGTTGGATCAGAATTAAGCCAGGACTTCATCAAAATACTTGATATAATGAGGTAAGACAGAACATAAATTGCTCTGTATTGTGTTCTTGCCCTGAAGAATGTCTATGATTGACGGACCTGTTTAGTAATTGTCTCTCTTCGGTCCGAGTCCACAATAATAACATTGCTGCTAAATGTTACTAGATTTCATTCAGATATGAAAAAGAAGACCTTGACACTTTGTCAGAATGGATTAAATGTATCAGATATATGTTACAATCTCGCATTAAGCGATTGAGGGGCAGTATGAAAACCATCTATCCCTCTGTATTCAATAATCCAGAAGTGAAAAAAGAATTAGATAGATTACATGATCAGTACGTACTGGTCCCTGCTGACAAAGCAGGTAACAACATTGTCTTTGTTTGTAAGGCTCATTATATAAATTGTATTTAAGAGTAACTGGGATTTAATTCTACAAGTGGTAATCCAACTTATACCCATAGCTCCCTTTCTAAGAAGGAAATTCTTCAAAATCATATGTCAGTTTTGAATATTTTTAATATTCCCAACAACCAAAATGAATTTGAATTACCATATCTGCATTGGATTCCAAAACTTCATAAAAATCCTTACAAACAAAGATACATAGCGGGTTCCAGTAAATATTCTACCAAGCTTTCTTTACTCCTCACTAAGATATTATCAGTAGTGAAGAGAGAAACTTCAAGAGTACTGTGATACAATATATTCGAGAAGTGGTGTAAATCAGATTTGGATACTAAAAAATTCTAAAGAACTTTTGGAACATTTGAAATCACAAAATTTTACCAAAATCAACAACATAAAAACTTAAGACTTATCAACTTTATATACAACTATTCCCCATGATAAATTAAAGTCCAGACTTTCTGACATCGTTGACAGCTGCTTTTTCAATAAAAATGGAACTCGTAAATTTACTTACCTTGTCATTGGTCATCTGCAAAATTATTTTGTTAAAAAACAATCTGATTGTACACACAAGTACTCTGAAGTTGGCATTAAAAAGATGCTCGAGTTTCTGATTGACAATATCTATGTGGTTTTTGAAGACCAGGTCTTCCAAAAATCTATTGGAATTCCCATGGGTACCAGTTGCGCCCCGTTATTAGCAGACTTAGTTTTATATTCATATGAAGCAGATTTTGTTCAAAATCTTTTACGGGAAAAGAAAACACTTGCAGTGGGCTTCAACTCGACATTTAGATATATCGACTACGTATTGTCAATTAACAGTGGTTATTTCCATTCTTATGTCGACGCGATATACCCCAGTGAGCTTGAGATAAAAGATACCACAGAGTCTGACACATCTGTTTCATATTTGGATATTTTATTAGAAAAAGACGTTAATGGTAATCTGACAACAAAGCTTTATGATAAACGTGATGACTTTAACTTTTCAATCGTCAACTTCCCTTACTTATGCAGCAATATACCCTTATCACCTGCATACGGGGTTTATATCTCTCAGTTGATTCGATACGCCAGAGCATGTTTTACGTATGAACAATTTCTGAAACGAGGTAAATTATTGACAGATAAGTTGATGGAAACAAGAATATCAACAGTCTCGTTTAAAGTCATCATTTCGTAAGTTCTATGGTCGATACAATGACCTTGTCAGCAAATAAATTTTTCATTAAGTCAAATGCTGACTGGCTTTTTTCATACACATTTTTAGACCATTATTTACACACTGAATTGTCGACGGATTTTTCCGTTATTTCCCGATCATGACAAGGAGCACACGTCGGGTGTGACCGGTCCGCAGGGGATGCTCACTCCTCCATGGCATCTGATCCCACCTCTGATGTCTTAGAGGTCCGTGTTTGCTCTGCTCCTATTTTGTAATGTTTAATGGACTTTTGAGCTCGAATTCTGTTCGTTATCTCCTCATATTTCATTCTAAAACAAGAGAGAGAGAGAGAGAGAAGAGAAGATTAAGAAATTCGGGTGCATCTGTAATTTGTGCAAGATCTTTCATATCTCATTAGTTTCTTTACACGATAAAATGCTAGGTACGAAAGAAACGACACTATGCATGGACTTGGTTGACAAATATTATTGTCAATTTTTCACTGAATAAACACCAATATTCATTGAATGGTTTAGAAGAACGAGATTAAAAACTTCGTTTAAAAACAATTTTTAACCGTAGAATTCGATTTGAGATTTGATTTTGAGATTTGAAAAAAATTTCTTTATATATAATGATAAACTTTAAAGAAATTGTCAAATGGGTGACATTTTTGTGAGCATTTTCATTTACTTAACTGCTGATTTTCAGAACCTGGGGAGACTACCTTATGACGCCAAGATTTTGTATATGCATATTGACTGGAAACTAGTTTATTCCAGAAGTAGTGAACATTTTTTTTAAATAAGTCTCGAAAATTTTCTTTACCTCTGCCAAATATTTTAAATGAAATTCATTTTTAAAGACATATCTATTATTTTGCTCACGGAAGGCGTATCATTATTTATTTCCAGTATTGAAGAGGTCATCCCCGTGTTTGTCAAAGCCATAGCGGAAGAGGATAATAACGGAAGCGTGTTTTCAATCAGGAAGACGGGGGCAGAAATCCTCAGTTTCCCCGAAATAAAGTAGACATGGGAATGCAGAAATTTATTTTAAAATTCATTTTGCAAGATATTGCAATTATTTCCAAATTCTCTGTTCATTTTACAAATCATACTTTTAATAACTTGCAAACGACCTATATATGCAGAATGTTTTTGTTTTTTTTTTAAAAACTAAAATCGTAATAAATCGTTTATTCACGACAATGTTATATGAATAATACTTTTTAGAATGAATAAAATTCATAACAACAAGCGTTTTGGTATTTACAGCATTTACAGTCCTGCTGGATACGTCATTACCGGTGAGGTAAATATAGTTGAAAATGACGACCTTTAAGCAATAATCTTGAAAGGTCTTAAATACAGAGAGTCACTAACAGAGAACGAAACTCATAAAGCAAAAAATGCTCAGTATGCTTGCCCAGAATATAACATGGTCAATGTTAGTTGTATTGATAATAAGTTTTTAGTTTTTACTGTCAATGACCAGCTGTTTTTAGATAATTTACTTATGGAAATTACAGGAAAAATTATCTCTTATTCAACATATAAGAAAAAAAAATGATAGAAAGAGAAATAAATTTAGAAAAAGAGATTCTATATTTAGAACAAAATCTAACAGAAAATTTACTCACTACCCTTACAAAGAAGCAATCAGAACTTGAAGATATATACATAAGACTGGATAAAAGGGACAGGTTATTCGTTGTCGAATGAAATGGATTGATGAAGGAGAAAGACTGATCAAATATTGTAGTCAGTTGAATATAGAAATTATATAAATAGACACCCAGGATAGAAAGAAAATGGTTCCAGTCTTTCAGGACAATATGACGTTTTGAATGAAACTAAAATATTCTATGAAAATCTATATACTAAGTATATAAAAAAAATTAGACATGAAACTATAGTGAAAAACTAGCAGAATACAATGATATCCCAGAGTTGTCTTTTGAGGAATCTCAAAGTATAAAGGGCCTTGTTATTAAAAGGAGGTACTTAACTTTCTCAAACAAATGATGAATGATGAAATCCCAGGTCCAGATGGATTTACTTGTTAGTTTTTTCTTTTTTTTTCGATAGATATTGGCCCTATTTGTGACACGGGCAATAAACGATTCAAGCATAAAACAAAATTTCTCTGAATCCAACAAACTAGGTGTAATAATCTGTATCCCAAAAACTGGAAAAACACGACAATTTAAAAAAAAACTAGTGTCCTGTAAGTCTCGAAAACGTTGTATACATGTTAGCATCTGGATGTATTGCCGAAAGAATAAAAAAATACTGAGATAAGTTAATACATGAGACCAAACTGGATTTATCAAAGGCAGATTTATTAGTGAAAATATTAGATTAATATATTATATCATGCTTCAAGCTGAACTAAAACAAAATACCTTGTCTACTAATGTTTATTGACTTCGAAAAAACTATCGATACAATTTAGTGGAATTTTATACACCAGGCACTATGTTGTGTTTTTTTTTTAAATTTTGGTATGTCAATTAGAAAATGTATAAAATCTTTTTATAGGAATATCAAATTATGAATTATTTTTGCCGTTGGAGAGAGAGGTTGTAGAAAAGGGATCCTAAATCACTTTACCTTTTTTTACTCTGTGCATAGGTTTTAGGTATTTCGATTAGAAAAAAAATACTTATAAAAAGGTATATCCAATAATATATTAATGATGAAGAGTATAATTTGTATTTGTCATAATATGCAGATGACACTTCTTTTATTTCTGATGGCTCTCCAGCTGGCTCATTGGATGGAATTACAAGGGTATTAAATTATTTTATAGCAATTTCAAAATAAAAGAGAAAATTTACAAAAGCAAAACTAATTTGGATTGGAAAGAAGAAATTTTCAAAATATGCGTTTCATCACTCCAGTTGAAAGTTTGATCCAAATGCTACAACTTTTGATTTATTAGGAGTTAAATTTTCTGTTAATTTACATGAAATGGAAGATATGATTTATAAATTAAAAATAGAAGAGATTAAAAAATTATGACACAATAGAAAGCTAGGAAGCTCACTCCTATTGGTAGGTTGACTGTAATAAAACATTATTATCATTATGTATTAATTATTAATCCCAAAATTAAATCATCTAGTCCTTACGTTGCCAAATCCTATTGAAGAAGTCATACGTGCTTTTGAGAAAGAGTTGTATAATTTCCTTTAGAATAAAAAGAATCATAAAGTTAAGAAAAATGTAAAATTAAAGTTAAGAAAAATGTAATAATTCAAGAGTATAAATATGGTGGTCTGAAGATTTGTTACATCACTTAAAGAACTTGGATGGAAATTGAAGAATGTATCTTGAAGAAACTAACCCTGTCTGTTTGTTTTGGTAGGAAATCAATCGTATTCGGTAAATTTACAAAAAGAGACCTATACAAGTTCAAAAAATCTTGTAATTATGACTACTTAACAGTACATTTTTTCAAGTAAGTTCACAGAACCAACAACATTAAGTATTGAGGCTTTAAAACATGTAATGACTGATAAAATTAAGGTCGAAAAGTTTATACTGTTAAAAACGGTAGATTCGAAATTGATGAAAAACTGTAAAAACTCTAAAATCATATTTGTTATTAAAAATACTGTATACTGAAAGTTTTAGTGACCTCTTCTGTCTCTTTCTTTCTCAATCTTTAAAACTTCTTTCACACATTCCTTGTCTTGTGTATAATTTTGGTTGTTTGTATTTGTAATTTGTGCGAATTAAGAATAAATAGATAAATAAAATAAAAAGAAATATATTAAAGATTTGTGTTAGAAAGTTAAAAGACAATATGCGAACCATCTATCCTTCCGTTTTCACTAAATAGGAGGTGATAAAGGAATTGAAAAGACTACATGAACTACATGAACAATATATTATGCTTCCAGCAGACAAGGCTTGCAAGTCTTTGTTTGTAAAACTGTATTTTAGAAGAACTTGGTTTTTAATTTTACGTCTGCAAATCCAACTTATACTCACAGTTCACTTTGATACTTTTTACATTCCAGTCAACCAAGGTGAATTCAATCTACCCTACCTATACTGGATTCCTAAACTTCATAAAAATCCTCACAAACAAAGATATATCGCCGGATGCAGCAAATGCTCTAGCAGGCCCCTATATCTTTACTCCTCACAAAAATATAAGCTGCTGTAAAATAGAAACTTCAGACGAAGTGTGCTACATTCAAATATTTAAAAGTAGTGTAAATCAAATGTGATTTCTCAAAAACTCTTAAGAACTTTTAGAAAATTGAGAATAACCAAATTTTTCAAAAAGTCAGTAACATTAAAAAGTACGACTTTTCTACACTTTATACTACCATTCCTCATGACAGATAAAAAACTAGGCTTTTGAAATCATAGAAAACTGCTTCTTCAATAAAAACAGAACTCGGAAATTTTTAGATTTTGTGATTGGTCATCATCAAAAATACTTTGTTAAAAATCACTCTGATTCTACACCCAAGTACTCTGAAGTTGATATTAAAAGGATGCTGGAGTTCCTCATTGACAACATCTTTGTAGCAGTGCTACCACTGGAGCGAAAATATTTTCGCCACTTTTCGCGATCAAAGAAATCGCATTCTTACATCTCATGTCTCTTGTTTATAATTTTTATTACCCTTTGGAGTGGGGTTATAAACTTAGTAAAGATATATGACATTTTGTAAAATGAAAAAATAAAAAAATAAGTGAAAATTTTAATTATATTCACAATTTATTGTGAAAAGAAGTGATTAAAATCAGTTTTAAAACTCATTGAACAACTTGGACAAAGGGTGTATGCATGTAAATTCATATAACTGAAAATAATTCAGTGTAATTGACAAAGATATCTTTTGTTTTCAAACCAGTATCTCTTTCACTCTTTGCCAGCTTATGGTATAATGTACACACTATTTCAACTTTAATCAGGTAAAATTAGCAGCCAATGCTCTGTAATTTTCATCAGATAAATATCAGAATAGTTTTCCTTTTACATGAACTTACTGAATAGTAAATATGTTCAATTCTGTATGAACTTACCACATGTAGGAGGTCAGAGGTCACACATGTCGCAAAGATATAAGTGTATGAACTAACTAGGAGGTCAGAGGTCACATGTCGCGATGATATCTTGCCTACATATTTTCTGTCACATTGAAACTGCAAGTGATTGACTGGCCTCGGAAGTTCTTTACTGATAGCGGTGACAGAGATAAAATTTGGCAAACATATGGATTTTTTTTCAATCAACAGACCTCAAGACCGTGAACTGGTAGTAGACTTAAGTAAATTCAAATTAGTATAACTTTTGAAAAGAAACTTTGAAAATAAATTTTCATCATGTGTTTGTATTTGAATATATTACAAACCTGCAGGTTTTTGAGCATATTTGTGAAATAGAAGTCAAGATATCCAAAATCAAAATGTTCACTTAAGTCTGTTTTCAGTTTATGGTCTTTGGTCCAGATATCTTTCGGTGTGAAGAATGGTTTGAAATCGAGCTTAAACCTTTGGAGGTATGGACACTGAAACAGACGTTTCTCGCTGAAATACACGCTATCGAGTTCATATATATTTTAATAACTCGTAAAATAGTAAGAGTATCCTCAGTACCGATCATTGTACTATCATTATAAACAGATTTCCTGAATTTGCTTAATCATCAATGTAAACATTCAAATTTTTGAGCTAGGAGCACTTTCATGACCTAATAATTTCTAGATCTTTATTTATTTCTTAAGTATATACATGTATATCATTAAATGAGAAGAATATTGTATGGCTTGAAGATGTCATCACACTACCGTATTTGGTCATAAACTGTGTGATGGGAATTACCTCTCCTCCTCCTCTCTCTCTCTCCCCAATACCATAAAAGTCACATAGCCACTTTCATTAAATGAATTATGTACAATATTAGGAACGTAGTTTGAATGTCATGTGTCGTTTGATGTGATTACAGAAATGAAATTGGACGGTCATTACAATTTTGCAATTATATTTAGCGGTAAATGTCCGAAAATTTCTGTGATTTGAAATTAATATAAAACATTGAACATTTTGAAAGGTTACAGAACTCTCAACACTCGAATCTTTCACAGGACATAAAATAAGTCGTCATAAAGGATACACAAGTGTACTGGACAGAAGTAAGTGCTTTATTTGATAGAAGTGGAGGGGGAGGGATGCTTACTAATAATAACTATTCTATTGTCAGAAAAAAGTTTATAAAAGCAGTCTGCTACTTAGCAGATACTGATTTATCTTCTTTCTTTCTTCTCTTTTTTGTCTTTCTTTTTTTTTATTTAAAACGAAACCAAACAAAATCATTTTAACGAAAATTACTACATTAAACTAAAAAATGTGTGACGAAGATGTGCCATGTATGTGCTTCATAGACCAAGGATGAATACGATATTATTGTCTCCCTTTGATTTTAGTACTATATATGACACATTCAGTTCATAAATAGTTACCATACATTTTGTAGAGAAAATCTGATTTCTATGAACTATTTTGAACTATTTTTACATGTTAATCCCAGTAGTGTTATTTTCAGTGCTATTCTATGATGCAAGTATGAAAAATAAAACTGCTTCGATAAAAAGGCTGAGTTAAGTGGTTGTAAATTTAAGTATACCATTTATATTTTCCAGCAAAAATCTGACTATTTTTTTATTATATACTTTTACAAATCAGACTATTTTCTATTATTTACTATTATGTACTTAGAGATGATGGGCTTTAAAGGTTTGTTCCTCCTCTTTGTGTTTTGTCTGGCATACATTCAAACTCAGGCAGAGGACAACTGCGATGAAAACGAAGTTCCGGTAGACCCAGAATGGAAGGACTGGACAGTCATAGATGGAGAAGATAGAGTTGTGGCGTCAGGCAGCACTGCGTCTTCCTCTAGCATGAGCACCAGAATCCTGTTTGGACTAATAGCTGTTACTCTGTGGTTTGTTAGGGGTATCATTTTTACTAATATTACTATTATTAGTATGGTAATTAAAATTCTCCAGCAGGGATGTAGCATCATTTTTTCAAGGGGGGGGGGTTGAAAAGAGAAGCGAAAAATGCTTGTTATTTTAATTAATTAAAAGGAAAAAAATTCAACAACAAAAAAAACGAAAAAAAAAAGAAACCAAAACAAAAAGACAAAACAAAAATAATAAAAACAAACCAACAAAACAAAACAAAACCTTGAACAAAACAAAAATAACAAATGAAAAGAAATACAATTGCCCAATAAAAAAAATCAGAGAAGGGAAACTGTTTTTCTTTTTTAAATTGTTACCTGGCCCTTCGTCGTCGCCGTGATTTCCATACACTATTAATAAAAAAAAAATCACTACAAACTAATTTAAAACTGGAGTGTTCCGAGGAAAACATATGTCGCCTGCTTTATAGCATCAAGATTTAGAGGTACTGTGAGCAGTGAGCTCACAATATTATATCTTCGCTCCCATATGAGTTTGACGGAAAAGTCCATTTTTTGCTGTGGGAAAGACAAATATCTGATCAAAATATAAAGTAGGAGATGTACAATGCCACTACATGTATGTATAAACTAAAGTAATGGATATGTATTTAATTACAATCTTCAAAGTTATTGAGATTAATTAATTACATTTGTACAAATCAATGTAATTGTAATTGCAAGAAATTGACAAAATTATCAATGTATTTGAAAATATTTACATTTTCAAGCAATTGACCCAAACCCTGAATTTGGCATAGAACATTTTTAAAAATTATATACAGTGCCAAATTTGATGCACAAGATGCGCATTTCGACAAATTATGTCTCTTCAGTGATGTTCATGCCGAAAGGTTGGAAATCCAAATATTAAGAAAAAAAGCATTGAGAGAGTTGAAAAAAGTGCCATAAACTTGAGCCAAATACGTCGAAGGATCAAAGCTATACATCAGGGAGATAATTTCTTAATTTTCCTTAATTTCTAAATTTTACCATAGCAATGCGGGAAACAAAAATTGTTAATTTCATGGTTCCTGTCCCCCTAGGGTTTGAGGGGTGGGGCTAAAACCATCAAAATTAATGCAATCTTCTTTACTCTTGAACTGTTGCCATGGTTGTAATAACCATTGGGTCATCTACCAAAATTGTGAAATTCATGGTCTTAGGTTCAGGGGTTCTAGAGTTACGATGGAAGATAATGATCATATAGGGAAAATTCTTCAAAAATCTTCCTCTCTACTCCTGTATATCAAGCAGATAAATTTGGTGCATGGTAATGATAAGCAAGAGTGCATCTTCGAAAATTGTGAATTTCAAGACCCCTGGGTAAGGGGTTCTAGTGTTAGGGCGGGGCACTTATGATTACATAGTGAAAATACATTAATTCTTTGAAAATCAACACTGTATATCATGTGGTTATAAACCTCACTTTCCCATATTCTAGGTTGACCTCACGCAGAGTATGTTGATGGCAGTCTACAGCTTTCAAGCATCATGCAATAAATATATGCATTTATATTTACTCTGTTATTACTTCATTTTAAATTTACGTATAAATGGGAAACAATTGTATCCTTTTATTGAAAGTATTTTTTAAGGATTGATACATTCTATACATGTTGAAAATTACAGGAAAGACGTAAATAAACAACAGAAACATATAAATACTGAAGACGTACACAAATTAACGTACTCAGTTCCTGATTAGCAATCCAACTAATTAATTAGCACAACCATAAATTAGCTCTCTTGAGTCTTGAAAACGACATGCATAGTTTAAATCCTTTTAGCTTGAAGGAGCATGAAAAACGCTTAAATATTATTACCGATAAAATAAGTAAGTTTACAGGATTTGCATTTTATCATCCATTTTACAATGAAATATGAAGATAATGGATAGTAATCAGGCTCGAAAGTCCATTAGATCAATACAAATGGGAGCAGATCAAACATGAACTTTAAAGACACCAGAACTGGGATCAGGTGCCTTGGAGGAGTACGCATCCTCTGTCGACCGGTTCCACCCCGAGGGCGACCCAAGCGTTACGATTTACTTATTGGGGTTTCTGGAATGAAAGAAGTGAAGATAAAGAACAGTGATTTATCTCATAAAAACTACAAAACACTGTGAACAGGGCATAAACACGACCCCCGGAAATTCAAGAGGTGGGATGAGGTGCCTAGGAGGAGTAAGCATCCCCTGCTGACCCGTGACACCTGCCGTGAGCCCTATGTATTGATTGAGTAGACGGAACATTCCGTAGTCAAATTGAATACAAAAAGAAAGGCTTAACAATTGGCATGAAACAAGTCAGCCAAAACACGACCCAGTGACAGGTTATATTTTCTAATAAGGTCAATATAACAACCATAGGATTCACGAAATGCTGACTTCAAACGAGGTTGTTGAAATCCCTGTAATATCAACTTTTGTGTGAGTAGTCTGCCTCGGTTTAAAAATTAATTGTACTCAGAGCATGTTCTTGAGTAGCGAATATGTTGGGAGACATAAACGCCATATGCAAGTGGAAGCAGCATATTACTAAATAAGGAAAGTTGACGATGAAAAAGCTGAAGTCATCTCGTTTTTCACACAATTTACTCGTAGTTATTAGTTGGCCTTTGTCGTCTATAGTCAGTAAAACATCTAAATATGAAATAGATGTGACAGACTCTATGGTGTCTTTTATTTTAAGTTCACTGGGATATATCGAGTCGACATATGAATTAGATAACTATTATTAATTAACAGAACGTCGTCGATATATCTGAATATCGAGTTGAAGGTCACGGCAAGTGTTCTCATCTTCTCATGTAGAAGTTTTTTCAATGAATTCTGCTTCATATGAATTTAAAAAATATCGACTGATAAAGGAGCAAAATTAGTGCCCATCCAAATGTCAGCAGTTTGTCGGAAGACCTGGTCTGCAAAGACTACATGTTGTCAATGAGGAACTTCAGCATCCTTTTATTATCAACTTCAGAGTACTTAAGTGTAGAATCTGAGTGACTTTTAACAAAGCAATTTTGTTGATGACCAATCACCAGTTGTGAAAATTTCCGAGTTCTGTTTTTATTGAAAAAGCAGTTGTCTATGATATCAAAAAGCTTACTTTTAATTTATCGTGAATAATGGTTGTATAAAGTGTGCAAAAGTCGTTCGTTTTGGTGTTATAGACTTTTGAAAAACTTGGTCATTTTAAATTTACTAAAAGTTCTTTGAGTTTTTGAGGATCCACATCTAATTACACCACTTCTAGAATATGCTGTAGCACAGTATGTCTGAAGTTTCTTCCTAACTGCAGTTAATATTTAGGTAAGGAGTAATGATAGGGGCTTGGTAGAGCATTTGCCGCACCGGTAATTTATCTCTGTAAGTATTTTTATGAAGTTTAGGAATCCAGTATATGTATGGTAGATCAAACTTATCTTGGTTGACTGGAATGTTAAAAGTTTGAAACACTAAAATGTGATTTTGAAGAATTTATCCTTGGAAAGTGAATTCCGAGTATGTGTAGGATTTCCAGACGTAGAATTAAAACCAAGTTCTTCCATAATATATAGTTATCATAATGAGCCTTACAAACAAAGACGATATTGTTATCAGCCTTGTCTGCTGGAACCAATATTAATTGTTCATGTTGTCTCTCTAATTTTTATCACCGACGATTTTGTGAAAACGGAGGGATAGATAGTTTGCATTTTGCGAATTAATTTTCTAATGCGATTGTTTAATATTTTTTCCAAAATATTTAATCCATTCTGACAAAGTGTTTAGGTCTTCCTTTTCATACTTGGCATAATCTTAGACAGAGCTCAAAATAGAAATGAAGTTCAGACGCCAATTGAAAGACCGGAGTTCCCTGTATTTAGCAATTTTTACGATGATTGATTTTAGGTCTTCATCTTCAACTTTATTAACATCACCAGTAATGACATGTCCAGCGGGACTGTAGTTGAAAGAAGAAGAGCAAGAACACTTGAGAGGATTTTGTTTTAGATTTCAATATCTAGGCACTGTAGGGTTTGTTTTAATTGAAAAGTTTGGAAGCAACAGTTTGGTAATATCTGTAGGAAATGCAGGGTGTAGACTGCAATTTGAAATAGGGTGGAAAACAAGCCTGAACTTTTTTATGATTAAGAATGTTACTTATGTTCACAGCATCTATTACTTTGTTGGCAAGTTTAAGGAACCGACGGGAAGAGTCAGAATAATTAATCTTCCGACACACGTGTTGACTAAAGGAGCCCTTTGCTGGGCAACATCCATAATTACAAACACTAGTTTGTATTCTGCATTTGAAGAATATAAGAAAAGATTTGCTTGAGCTTCTTGAAATAGTCCAATCAAAAATTTCAATGAAACCAAATACAGTTTAGTGCGAATGTGATGAAGATCTAATTGTTTATTGACGAAAGGTTCAAGTGAATCAAAGGACATCATGTATAATTGATTTATTGTATGACCAATGTCCATGACTATGCTTACGTCTAGGTGTTTTGTTAAAAAGTCCCATCATATTTACGTTGACACAATGTGAGCTTGAAATATTCCCTACATTATTTATGTGGTCGTTGCAACCATAAGGAAAGGTCGTGTCTAGTGATCCAGTATTCCTCTAGTAATCTACGGAACGGAGTACTCAATATTAGCATTTAAAAGATAGTGAATACAGAGTTTAAAAAAATAAAACTAAATAAATTTCCCTTAGATTAAGATTTTGTATGTTTGGATAATTTCATTTAGTACATAAATACAAAATATAATATCATGAAATGTCCATAAAGATTTAGAGACTGAATTTGACCTATGTTTTGATAACCGCTACCCTTAAATGTTATTTTTATGAGGCTAGAAAATGAAACATACTCTGAAATGAGTCTAAACATCTGTTAAAAAAACAAAAAAAAGCAACCAAAAAAAAAAAAAAAAACAAAAACCAAAACCAAAACAAAACAAACAAACAAACAAAAAACTTCGATATATAAGGTTTTACTGCATATATAAATATCCTTATACACAGTTGAATTCACTTCTTTCTTCAAAGTAGAAAAAATGCACGAACATTTTTACCAAAATTTATTAAATTAACAAAGGTTATGCCCTTTTCGTATAGTTTTTAAAGAAAATTTATGAATCGAAAATAATGTTTCCTCTTCATCCAATGTTGTTAATTTTTTTTTAAATCATATTCATTTCGAGCATTCTAGAGTTTATTTATAACAAAATAAGTAGTTTGCAAGTAGTTTGATGTTTAATGATAAATTGACTTCTCAAAAACCCCAAACACATTTTTTTTTCAAAATCAAGGCTATCAATCCTTATAACTTTTTAGCGTTTCCTACAACCTTTCCTCTCGATAAATTAAAGACCAGCTATTTGATATAAAGTACTGCTTTTTCAATAAAATGAACGCATAAATTTTCAGATTTTGTTGATAGGTTATCTAGAGAATTACTTTGTTAAAAATATATTCTTACGAAGCAGAATTGATTAAAAAATTTCTATATGAGAAGAAAAGTTTTGCTGGTGCCTTCAATTCAACATTAAAATAGATGTGGATCCTCAAATAGAATTTTTTTTTCAATTAATAATTTTTTACATCAACATATACAATATTATATACATATTATGTCGACTCGATATACCTGGTGAAATCGAAATAAAAGGCATCATGGTATCTGTCACACCTGTTTCATATTTGGATGTTTTACTTACTTAAGGCAATAATGACCAACTAACAACTAAACTACATTACAAATGGGATGACTCTAGCTTTCCATCGTCAACTTCTCATATTCACGTAGGTACTAAAATATTCCACTACTACCAGCATATTGTTTTATGTCTCCAAACTCAGGTCAAAAAAGCGTGCTTTCAGGACGATCATTTTTTTAGACTGATGATAACTACCGATAAATTTGTTGATGTAAAGGGGTTTTAACAATCTTGTTAAAAGTCAAAATTTCTCAAATTATCTTGTTGTTGCAATCAACAACAATGGTAAATACAACGGTGGGTTGCATTTTGACTGACATGTTTCCTTACAAATTGTTAAGCCATTGATTTATGCCGATTTTGATCGGATTAATCAAATGAATACAGAGGACACAAAATGTATTGAATGTTTTATTTGTACATGTATTCCATATTTATCAATTTATATCGTATAAAGTTTATTTAAATTCTAACCAGGCTTGGGGCGAATTACATTGTAAAGTAATGCATTACATTACCATTACTTCAAGAATTTTTTAGAATTTCTAACATTTTCCCAGCTGCATTCTATAAATAACCACTTGTATATTTTCTATTTGTATTTTATGATTTTTCATTTGTTTTAATAAATGTCCATTTGTTTTCTATATTTCATTATTTACAATCAATGCTTGCTTCATTTTTTGTGTATTTTACACTTTGTATATTCTATATAATGTTTATTTTGTATTGTTTGTATTCGATAAATCTAATAATTGTAGGATACAAATAAATTTTGTTAATAGATGTTTACTCCTTTATACAGTATAAATCAGTCATAGTAATGATATCGTTTATGATATCGTTTTCAAAGCACATAATTATAACGTCACAATTGATTTTGCGTGATAGTGTTAAGGTTAAAACAAAAAGATTCATATATATATGAAACAGTGTAAAAATGTGATTACTATGTGTAAAACATGTGATAAATGTGGGATCTCCAAAGGTTTGTGGTTGGATATTATTTTTATCCATCTTGTGTGTTCCCTATTTTCTCACAAAGGCTCAACGACAGAAAACGTACAACTGGTTGGATAACAAGAGGCCCAAGGGCAACAACTCTCACCTGAGTAACTTTGGCCCTGCTATTTTTCACCAAATTCCCCCCTTGTAGTACCTCTTGTGGCCCTACCCAACCCTCCGGGGTCATAATTTTAACAAAATCTACACTACCTTAGGAAGCTTCCATATAAATTTCAGTTTTCTGGCCCGATGAATATTAATAATTGAGAAGATTTTTGAAGTATTTTCCTATACATTTCAATGTAAAACTTTGATTCCCTATTGTGGATCCACCCTACCCCCGGGGGCTATAATCTGAACAATTTAGAATCATAAGTACCTCCGGTCATAAAAACAAAGGAAATAGAGAAACAAAAACAACTAGCACTACTACTAAACTACCAAACACTAAATATTTACAGTATTACATGTTCAATTTGAAGTTTATAAACAGTTGTGAACAAAGAAATCCGGAGCGCTATGAATTGCGTCCGGTCTATCGGGTGTACTCTGGGTAAGTTCACATAAATTTGACAATTATTATTGTTCGTGTCGTTGGTCATTTTTAGTGCTTTATATAAATTTCCATCCGTGACCTTGTATCTACTTAGTAGATCCGACACTTAGGATATACAGTGTTGTTGGTTGTTAGTGCTTTATATATATATATATATATATATATATATATATATATATATATATATTTAAGGAATAACTGTCTTATTTTTTGGATTCATGATGACAAAGACATTGAAAATGTAAATATATATATATATATATATATATATATATATATATATATATATATATATATATATATATATATATATATATATATATATATATATATATATATATATATATATTCGTTAATTTTACTTATAAAATGAGCGTACATAGATGAAATGACTGTTCTATTAATGCTATCTTTTGCCCCTGAATTTTGATTCTGGCTGTGGATTGATCACTCGGGAATTATTCAGCCTTTATCGTGTATACTTAATGACAAAATTAGTAAACCCTTTTCGTGTGATCATTTCTATTTGAATGTAAAGTGCTTATCAGTCATCATCTAATTTTATGATCGTAATTTATAAAATCCAGCCGTTTCCACTGTTTTTATAGCAATTTTGTCATACATGTATATTTCTAAATCTGAAAAGCACGTAACAGATAAACAAAACACATCACATAAAAGGACGATTTAGAAGGACGTTGAAGAAAAAAAACAAGACAAGGTATGGCATTTCATACTGTACAGATTGAGAAGAAATTAGTTTATTACATTTTATGAAAGTCAGATAGTTTCCATATTCAGTCCAAACATAAATTCTTTGATATATTTTGTCAAAAAAGAAATATGCATATCGGTATTGTTGACTTCAAGCAGATGTCTTTTTCAGAGAGGAACTTGAATTTTTTCGGTTAAAAACATCATTATTACTTAGGTGTTTGCAAACAGATAATGTAACAAAGTAAAATTCAACCTAAGTGTACTATATAAAAAGGAATCAATTTACCAAACGGAAATTTACGTTCTTTAAAATGCAAATTGCATTTGAATAAAGGTTATAAGAACTTGTATCAAAGATCTCCAGGTTATCTGAAATTAGATTTTCATCCACCGACAAATTATCTATATGAATATATGTATATAAATTATTTACAGATGAGGGACTACCGTGTTTTACTTTTACTGCTAGGGGTTTGCCTTGTCTTCAGTCAGAGTCATCCGGGATCAGTTAGAGATGATTCGGAGATTTCTGATGATCACACGTACCCGTGGTACATGCAAACTGATCGAATGCTTGTATCATCAGGTCACACTTCCTATCGCTTGACTTACGGCAGTACAGTGTTACTTTTTGGAGTCGTAGCTGTTGCTCTTCTGTTTGTTAAGGGTATGATCTTAAATAACTATAATTGTTATCCGAATATACATATGAAGACGGTAAGTTAGTTAACACAGGTATTCTTTAAAAGGAAGTGATCGGGAAGCATATTTAGAGTTATAATCAGATGTCAAACTTGTGGCCTATGTAATGGCACAGAATGTCCAAGAATACTCAGTTGTCCAATAAACAAATAAACTAATGTACGAGTGCGACTTACTTTATTCGAAACACGAACAAACGAATTAATTTTTCTCCAAAGGGAAAAGGTGTACTACTGTTTTGGAATGATTTGAAATTCTTCCGCACATAAAGAAAACGTAAATTAATTCACCAAGTAACTGTATAATATTAAAAGTAAATGCATTTTTTTTCAAAAAAAAAAAAAAAAAAAAAAGCTTCTTGGTACTTAACATGTTATGAGAGATTTACGTGAAGCTGTCATTGCATAGTAAACAAAGTGGTACGTCGCTTTTGCGTGCGCAAATGGTTACAATTCGCATATGGTTTGCCGGATGCCTCACATGGAATCAACGACGAAAGCCAATCACTAAAAGAATTATATTAGGATTATCTCATTTTGATGTAAATTATGTATAACAGTTAATTAACAATTAATAAAAATTAACAAGTCAATGCGTTTCGTACGTTGAAAATACGACTGTATTCTTGTTCCTGATTGACATGATGTTAAATATGATCGCTTATATTTTACCATTTTTCCTGAGGACAAAGTCCTGTCCATTCTGAATAAAATGACAATAAATCTTTTCTTCCTTTTTTCAAAATATAAGAATAAAATAATTTTCATATATAAATACACACACGCGCACCTTCACACATACACCCACCCACCCACACACCCTCACACACACACACACACCCTCACACACACACACACACCCTCACACACACACACACACACACACACACACACACACACACACACACACATATATATATATATATATATATATATATATATATATATATATATATATATATATATATATATATATATATATATATATATATATATATATATATATATAAGGGATGGGAATTTGTAACCGGTTACATTTTTACTATGTTTAAATTCGAACAAAATTTCCTTGGAATTTAATTTTGACACCTGCACTGAAAAATTATATTTAATGCCTCTTCATGATAACTCGGACAATCTTGGTTTTCTAACAGTTTCGTATTTCTGATCAAATAATAAACAAAGTATAAATAACTTTTAACAAGTTAAAAAAAAATAAAAACTATAACTATGCTTTTTGATATCATAGACAACTGCATCTATATCAAAATAAATAGGTGTAGGAAAAAATAAGATTTAATGTACTGAAATATATAATAAATGTGAAGTTTAATATGAATTTAGTGCCTGTATTTATTCATTTTCTATGTTCTATACATAGTTTGAATTAAGCCTACATACCTACATGAATAAGGGTTTATGCATTGTTTTACAATAAATAAATGTTAAAAATTAATTGATTTTTTTTTTTCAAACATGAGATTTACAATAAAAAGCCAGTTTGCCTTTGTATTTGCATATATTTTTTACCTTATTTTATTACTCAACGAAAGGTGAAAAAAAATGCTGACTCTAGAAATGATCAGTAACAGATGACATTCGATGTGCTGTTACAAGATCATGATGTACTTTGGGATTGTACTATGTGAAACCGTTATTTATTTTCATATCCTTACCTTGAAAACAAGAGAGCCATGGACACGTGTTCACCTGAGTAAATATAGCATTGCTGCTCTTCAAAAGATTTCAAAAATATTTTCATATTTCCATGCAAAAATTATGATCCCATATTATGGTCCCATCCTAACTCTGAATCCTCTAAATCCACAGCTTCAATATCAATCTGATTAACAAGACTTTGCAGTTATGGAAAAGAAAATTCTTTTCCTTGTCCAAGCATTACAAAAAATTTGATCCCGAAATTACCAAATTCAAACCCATAATTTAAAGAAAAATGAATCCTTACGACTTCGGAATGTTTGCTAATTAATGGATCTATTGTTGTTCTTGAGATTTAAAAAAAAAACCCATACAGTCCCATATAAAAATTCCATACCCTACTATGGTACCATCTTACCCCTGGGGGTCATGTTTTGAACAACTGAAAATTTACATGATATTAGGAAGCTTTCCCATGTTTCCACTTTTCAGGTCAATTGAGAAGATTTTGTAAAAAAAAAAATCGATCTTCTATTGTGGCCCCATCCGGCCTTGCGGGCAATGATTTGAACAATTTAGAATCTACATTGCTAGGGAGTTTACAACAAAGTATCATCTTTCCGATGATTCTTGAGAAAAAGGTTTTTAGAGATTTTTCATATAAACTGTATATTGAAATGTCCAAAAAAAAAAAAAAAAAAAAAAAAAAAAAAAAAAAGATCCCCTATTGTGGCCCCGCCCCGACCCTACCCCGAGGGCCATGATATTATCGATTTAAACTCCACACTACATCAGGAAACTTTCATTTAAGTTTTATCTTTCCAGGTCCAATAGTTCTTGAAAAAATATTTTAAAGATCTTCCCCATATATTTTAATATTTATTGTTACCCCACCCTACCCTCAGGGGCTATGATTGAACAATTTAGAATTAACACTACCTCATAAAAATTTCATATGTTTCATCTTTTCTGGTCCAGTGGTTCTTGATAAGAAGATTTTCAAAGATTATCGTATATATTCAAAAGTTTAATTGTGACCCCCTATTGTTGCCCCACCCTAACCCTCATGATTTGAAGAATTTAGATTTGTTACACTACCTCGGGAAGCTTTAACATTAGTTTTATCTTTTCTGGTTCCGTGGTTCTTGAGAATTTTTTAAAATTTTGCTTTATATTTCAATGTAAAACTTTGATCCCTATTGTTTCCCCATCCTATGTCCGGGGGCCATGATTTGAATCTACACTACCTCAGGAAACTTTTCTTGTAAGTTTCACAATTTCTGGCCGAGTGATTCTTGAGAAGAATTTTAATTTAACCCTTCCTATTTTTGCCTTTTCTTGATCATCTCCCCTTGGGAGAAAGTTTCGCCCATCATTTGTATAAGAACTGCGAACGATAGTATTGTTCTCCCGCCTACCTCCAAGTCAATTTTCAAAAGTGAATTATTTGAACGATTTTTTTATATTAACATAGATATTTATATGAATTTTCATAAAACATAGCTTATTTGGGAAAACAAAGAGAGATGACTCTAAAATTTTGGTAAAACTTGTGTTTTTCACTATAGAAATCAACGGAAAACGGAAAATATTTTAAAAACATCCCCCCCCCCCCCCCGTGAAACAAAAATTTCTGTTTACAGGTAATATGGATTGTTATTTCACAAATTCACACCAAAGCTTTTTGTGTTTCGGGGGGGGGGGGGACATATGTTTACAGACAAAAAAAAACCCAGTAAAAATGGTCATTTTATAACCAATTTTTAACGAGATAGCAAGTTAAAAAATGTACTTTATCAATCTTATACTTTGAATTTTACATAATTTTAACAAACGGAAAGATTTAAGGGTTATTTATTCATTTCCGTGCATATTTGAAATTTTGTGATGTTTTAAATCCTGATTTCAATGCATAAAATTTTCTACCCCCCTTATGAAAAGAGTTGTAAAAAAGGGAATTATCTTTTTGACGTTGGTTTTAAAATTATTAATCAATTACTAATGAACTATTCTTTGCATTCAAAAAAGTTTTAATGGCCAAAATGCCATTTATACTGAATTAGATGGGTATAAAATGTAGGCGGGAATCGAGAGTTAGCGTGCGTACTTCTTTAGAATTTATTTAACCGAAGGATGATCTGTGCCAACTTTGGTTTAAATTGTCCCAGTTGTTCTTTAAAAGAAGTCGAAAATGTAATGTAAGTTTACTGACGGACAAACAGATGGATCTTTGACATTTGTGAAAACCTCTTTTGAAGTTTTAGCTAAGCTAAAAATGTTATGCTTAAGTACTTTGAATTTTACTCATACATTTGTTAATCGATTTTAATTATATCGTGTTTTTACAGGATGATGGTATTCAGTTAACGTGTGTGACGGTGTAACCTGAACAACCGCTTCTGTAAAAGAGATTTTTAAACATTATTGAATTAAAATATATACATGAATAAATTGATTTGGGGTTATTTTAATTTTTTTTTAAGTGGAATATTTGATCATGAAATGAAATATGAAGATAATGCACAGTATTCAATCTCGTAAGTCCAATGAAACGATACGAATTTGGAGCAGAGCAAACACGGACCTCTAAATTTAGAGGTGGGATCAGGTGCCATGGAGGAGTCAGCATCCCCTGCCGACCTGTCACACCCGCCGTGAGCTCCTTGTCATGACAAGAGGCCCATGGGTCACATCGCTCACCTGAGCACATTGGCAAGGCAAAAGCAAATCAGTTCAGTACTGAAAAGATTGGGGGGGGGGGGAGGGAGGGGGCTTGAATTTTAAACTACCTGCTGATGCTTCCATGTCAATATAACAAATGGCTTTGATGTACTTGAGAAGATTTTTAAAAAATTTTCTCATATATTCCTTTATAAAAATTTGATCCCCCATTGTGGCTCCTCCCTATCCCAGGGGTCATCATTTGAACAAACTTGAATCTACACTACCTGAGGATGCTTCCATATCAATATGACTAAACATAGCTTTTCTGTTCTTGAGAAGAAATTTTTTTCTATATGTTCTTATGAAAAACTTTCGATCCCCCTATTGGGCCCCACCCTACCCTCGGGGGTCATCATTTGAACAAAATTGAATTTACACTACCTGAGGATGCATCCATATCAAAATGACTAAACATGATTTTCAGTTCTTGAGAAGAAGATATTTTCCTATATGTTCCTATGTAAAATTTTCGATCCCCCATTATGGCCCATCCCTATCCCCTGGGGTCATCATTTTAACAAACTTGAATCTACACTACCTGAGGATGCTTCCATATCAAAATGACTAATCATGGCTTTGCAGTTCTTCATCAGAAGATATCTTACTATATATTTCTATTTCAGACTTTTATCCTCCATTGTGGCCCCACCCTACCCCAGGGGGTCATGTTTTGAACAAACATGAATCTACACTACCTGAGGATACTTCCACATAAATATGATCAATCAGGGTTTTGCTGTTCCTGAGAAGAAGATTTTTCCTATATTTTTCTATGTAAAGCTTTGATCCTCCATTGTGGCCCCGCCCTACCCCCGGGGGGTCAGGATTGAACAAACTTGAATCTACACTACCTGAGGATGCTTTCATATAAATATGACCAATTAAGGCTTTGCTGTTATTGAGAAGAGGATTTTCAAAGATTTTTCCTACATATTTCTATGTAAAACTTTGATCCTCCATTGTGGCCCCGCCCTACCCCCGGGGATTATGATTTGAACAAACTTGAATCTACACTACCTGAGGATGCTTCATATAAATATGACTCATCATGGCTTTGCTGTTATTGAGAAGAAGATTTTTAAAGATTTTTCCTATATATTTCTATGTAAAACTTTGATCCTCCATTGTGGCAACGCCCTACCCCCGGTGGTCATGATTTGAACAAACTTGAATCTACACTACCTGATGATGCTTCCATATCAATATGACTCATCATGGCTTTGCTGTTCTTGAGAAGAAGATTTTTAAAGGTTTTTCCTATATATTTCTATGTAAAATTTTGATCCTCCATTGTGGCCCCGCCCTACCCCCGGGGGTCATGATTTGAACAAACTTGAATCTACACTACCTGAGGATGCTTCCACATGAGTTTCATCTTCCCTGGCTTTGTGGTTCTTGAGAAGAAGATTTTTAAAAGATGCTATTAATTTTTCACTAATTCTTTATTATCTCCCCTTGAAAGAGGGCGTGGCCCTTCAATTGAACAAACTTGAATCCCCTTCACCCAAGGATACTTTGTGGCAAGTTTGGTTGAAATTGGCCCAGTGGTTCTTGAGAAGAAGTCGAAAATGTGAAAAGTTTACAGACGGACAGACGGACTACCGACAAAATGAGCCTTCGGCTCAGGTGAGCTAATAAAAAAACCGAAAAATCCGTGGACAGTTCTGTGTATAAATAATGGCCTAACAATTAGTATGAAAAAGGTCAATCAGAATTTCACTCAAAGATAGGTTGTATGTGCTGACAAGGTAATTATATCGGCCATAAAACTAGCAAAAAGATGACTTCAAACGAGACTGTTGATATCCTTGTTTCATCAACTTGTTTGTCAAAAGCTTGCCTTGTTTTAGAAATTGTTCATACATAGAGCATGCTCTTGCGTATCGAATCAAATGAGAGACATAAACCCCATATGCAGGTGATAAGGGTATATTGCTACATAAGTAAGGGAAGTTGACGATTGAAAAGTTATCACGTTTATCATATAGCTTTGTTGTTAGGCTACCATTAACTTCTTTTTCTAGTAAGATATCTAAATATGAAACAGATGTGTCAGAATCTGTGGTGTCTTTTATTTCAAGCTCCCTAGGATATATCGAGTCGATATATGAATGGAAGTAACTATTGTTTATTGATAATACGTCGTCGATATATCGAAATGTCGAGTTGAAGGCCACAGCAAGTGTTTTCTTCTTCTCATGTAGAAGTTTTTGAATAAAAACCACATAGATATTGTCAATCAGAAACTCAAGCATCCTTTTAATATCAACTTCAGAGTACTTGTGTGTACAATCAGAGTGCTTTTTAACAAAATAATTTTGTAAATGACCAATGACAAGGTAAGTATATTTACAAGTTCCATTTTATTGAAACAGCAGCTATGATGTCAAAAAGCCTGGACTTCAATTTATCGTGGGAAATGGTTGTATAAAGTGTTGAAGAGTCGTACGTTTTGATGCTATTGATTTTAGTAAAATTCTGTGATTTCAAATTTTCCAAAAATTCCTTGGAGTTTTCAAGCATACACATCTGACCTACACCACTTCTCGAATATACTGTTGTACAGTACTTCTGAAGTTTCTCCTTCATTACAGTAAATATTTTAGTGAGGAGTAAAGAAAGAGGCTTGGTAGAACATTTACTGGAACCTGCTATATGTATCTTTGTTTGTAAGGATTTTTATGAAGTTTAGGAATCCAGTAAAGGAATGGTAATTCGAATTCTAAATTTGATTGTTGGGAATATTAAAAATATCTAAAACGGACATATGATTTTGAAGAAAGGGAGGTATGAGTGTAAATTGGATTTTCACCCGTAGAATTCAATCCTAGATCCTCTAAAATACAATTCAAATAATGAGCTTTACAAACAAAGACTATGTTGTTACCAGCTTTGTCAGCTTGGACCAGTACATACTGATCGTGTAATTTATCTAATTCCTTTTTCACTTCTGAGTTATTAAAGACAAAATGATAAATAGTTTTCATACAGCCCCTCAATCGCTTAATGCGAGATTTCAACATCCATCTGATGCCCTTAACCCATTCTGACAAAGTGTCAAGGTCTTCTTTTTCGTGTTTGGCCCATTTGCAACATTTTCCCTTAAAAGCAGCACACGGGCAATTCAAAAATTCTAGGGAAATTTAATTAATTTTTATGGGATCTACAAATCATTTTGTACCAAAAAAGGAGTTATAACTGAAATGAGTTAAAAGTAACAAGCACTTTATTCAAAAACTTTTATAACAACTTGAATTGTGATAGGTTATTCAAAGAACTTCTGAAATGTCTTGATCATGTTGATTTTATTGTACAATTAGTCATTCTGATATACTGGTTAAAAAGGGCAAATGCATCACTGAGGAATTGTAATTCTTTTCTCACCAGGAAATTCAATTTGTATGAAATAATTAAAGCAATCTTTCAAAGTATATAATGAAACAGTTCAAAAGTTGGCATGTAATTTTTTAGTTGCTAGAAACAGAACTTCCTCAACTGCATTAATTGTTTAGATGTTCTTTGTAACTTTATATTTCTTGCAGCATACTTGCAACGACATATTACCCGGTAACTATAAAACAATTAAGTGATTCATTTAAATAAATCACATCTTGCATAATGATACTGAACTTTTAAAAGATTCAACTTTATTACAACCGGTAAAAAAAATTAAAAATCAATGCAATATTCAACAACTTATTCAAGACATGATGTTAATCAAATACGGATTCTAAAAAACTCAAAATATGTTTTGGAAATTTTAAAATCTCAAAACTTTAAAAACATCAATAGTATCAAAATATATTACTTTTATGCAACCTTTCCTCACGATAAATTACAGAGCAGACAGAGTAGGCTTTTTTACATCAAAGACAAATGCTTTCTCAATAAAAATAGGAGTGGTAAATTAACATACCTTGTCATAATTCCTCTAAAAATGTTTAAAAAAAAATCATTCTTAATCTACATACAAGTATATATAGGTTTATATGAAAAAGGTGCTGGAATCCCTCTTTCATACGATATACTTGTATGTAGTATTTGGAGACCAGGTCTTCCAACAATCTGTTGGAATTTCGAGAGGTACTAATTGTGCTCCTTTGTTGGACAACCTCTCTATGTTCCCATGAAGCAGAATTGATTCAAATACGTAATCAAGAGAAAAAGAAAACTATGTGGTTACTTTCAACTCAACATTTAGATATACATGTATCGATGACGTCTTATCAATAAGCAATAATTACTTTCAATCATATGTCGACTCGATATATCTCAATGATTTGGAGATAAAAGACACTACAGAGTCTTCCACATATGTTTCATATATCGATGTTTAACTGACTATAGAAGACAATGAGCAAATAACAAGTAAACTGCATGATAAACGAGATGAAATCAGCTTTTTTTTCAGTCATCAACTTCTCTTATTATGAAGCTATATTCCAACATCACCTGCATTAAGTAAACTACTGACAAATAAGTTGATATTACAAGGATTTCAACAACTCTGTTTAAAGTCAGCTTCTCGCAAATTCTATGGTAGTTATAATGACCTTGTTCGTAAATACATCCTATCGTTGGGTGGTATTTTGTCGGACATGTTTCATACCATTTGCAAGATCGTTGCCTTTACAACATATATGAATACGAAGTACTCCGTCTACGTGACTAATACCTAGGCTCGACGGGGTATGACCGGTCAAAAGGGGATGCTTACTCTTTCTAGGCACCTGACTCCACCTCTGGTGTTTCTAGAAGTCCGGTTTTTGCCCTACTGGATTTTTTTTACTGGATTTACTGTGGCCTTCAACTCGACATTTAGATATATAGACGACGTATTATCAATTAACAATACATGTAGTTACTTCCTTTCATATGTTGACTCGATATATCAAAGTGAGCTTAAAATAAAAGATACTACAGTGTCTGAACATTTCTTTCATATTTGGATATTTTACTTTAAAAAACTTTAAGGACATACGCAACGTAGTTTGAACTTTATTGTCTTTTTCCCTGGAGTTGAAGAGTTCCAATACTTAAAGGAACTGTGTGCTACATTTTAATGTCTATATTATGCTGCTGTATACTTCTTCTAAAACAAGTTTGGATAAGCAAAACATTTAGAATATATGTTTAGTATTTTTTATATATTTTTCTTTGAATTATACAAGAATTTTCATCAATTGACATCTTTTCAAAATCCCTGGTATTGCATGCTGAATTTTTGTCTACGAACATCTGATGGCATTATAACGGAAGCCGGTAGGTGCCAGGTAGAAAAATATTTTATCTGGCAGCTGCCAGATAATTATCTGGCGGCCGCCACATAAATAACTGGCGGTCGCCAAATAAAGTTAACCAAATAAAGTTAACCTTCTGGCGGCCGCCAGTTATTTATTTGGCGGTCGCCAGAAACTTATCTGGCGGCCGCCAGATAAAATATTTTTTCTACCTGGCACCAACCGGCTTCCGTACATTATAATCTTAAATTAAGAATATCTTGAAAAATTATCAGTAGGTAAGGTACGTTGCGTATGTTCTTAATGGTAACCTAACAAAAAAACTTTATGATAAACGTTATGACTTCAATTTTTCAATCGTCAACTTCCTTTACTTATGTAGCAAACTCTTATAACCTACATATGGGAATTTTATCTCCCAGTTGATTCGATACGAACAATTTCTAAAACGAGGCTAGCTAATAAAAAACAAGTTGATGAAACAACGATATCAACAGTCTCGTTTGAAGTCATCAGTTCACAAGTTTTATGGTCGATACAATGACCATGTCAGCAAATACAACCTATTATTAAGTCAAATGCTGACTGATTTTTTCATACTAATTGTTAGGCCATTATTTACACACTGAATTGTCTCAGATTTTTCCGTGTTTCCCAATCATGACAAAGAGCATACGCCGGGTGTGTGTGACTGGTCGGCAGGGGATGCTCACTCCTCCATGGCACCTGATCCCATCTCTGATGTTTTTGAAGTTCCTTATTTGCTCTGCTCCCGATTTGTATTGTCTAAATGGACTTGAATACTGTTCGTTATTTTACATATTTCATTTATGATTTGTAAGATTAATCACTGTTCGTTATCTTCATCATATATATATATATATATATATATATATATATATATATATATATATATATATATATATATATATATATATATATATATATATATATATATTAATCGTAGGCGAAGTTTTTAATTTTTCGATATTCACATAAATAATCCCTATAGAATGTTGACAAATTAAACATTGTACACCTTGTTATATGTCAAATATTTATTTACATGTCTATTGGCTACTGCAACCGTTGCAAATCTCAAAAACTTTATTTACAATACGAAAACTTTCTCTTACAAAACTACAATTATATAAACAAAACAATGAATAGAAGTTCATTGATCTCAGATTAATTATTTTGTTATAAAATCGCGTAATAATAATTATAATGAGGTATAATAATACTGATTGTACAAATACATGCAGCTTATACGTCATCCATGTTTTGCCTCGGTGGAATATTTCTTTGGACGGTGAGTAAATATTTTTGCATAAAGTCAGTAACAAACCTTATAATAAGTAATAGTGTAACAGTATATATTCAGATAGTAATTACACTATCTGTATATTTCCTTTTGGAAAACACGGGCAATCAGAAGGTAAAAACAGAGACTACATGCACCATCAGGAGTGCATAACACGTGTTACTCCATGTCCTAAATCTGTTCTAATGTGAGAAAAAAAAATACTAAAGAGCTTAGGAGTGTTATTCGATTTCATCAAAAAGAATATTGTTTTTATAACTAATCGAAAGGTTGATTTTTTTTTTATATATTCTTAGAGATTTAAAAGAAGTTTAAGCACAGGTCAGGCACAAGAACAAAATATACATTGTATTTACAAGAAAATATTGCGCTTGAAGGATAATGTAAAATCTCAAGAAAATTGATGAAATTTAACTTAGAAACAAAGACCAAAAAAAAAAAACGATATTACTGAAAATGTTTCTAATGATTATCGAAACCATTTATACCAGTATATCATTACCGAAAGCATTATTAACTTCCGAAGCTCTTCCTGCGTTCCAAGTTAAAACTGTGCATAGGTAAGACAATATTATCTGGTATCCTGTAGGCTTTAATCGGTATCTAATATTTTTTTCAGAAATGAAAGAAAATAAATTTCGGCAAAGATAACTGACTTGTTTTCAAAAATTTCATTGATGTAATGCAACCAACCAATTGGCACGTACATTGAAACATCATGCATTTATTACATGATCAAGTGGGTAAATGGCCGGGTAACGGATCTAATAAGGTATTTACTTTCGCTCGGTCTATATGACAACGCGTGACAGTCAGACACGTGACGACGAATAGGTCAATGACAAGTATTTAAGTTTCACATTGTCAATCCTCTAGAGACTGTCGAAGTTCTAAATAAGTTTATTATCAATATAAAATATTAATTTTACAACAGCAAACTCGAAGGTAACAAACAGTAATCGATCTTAAAACCCAATACAAAAGTCCACAATTGAATGATCGAGTAAATGAAGTGACAAGTAGATGAAAGACAAATCAGTATAAAAACAATAGCAAAACAAAGTTTAAAAGAAAAATAAGTTCATCATTTTAGACAACACATTACAAGCAATTTCAACATGATTTTTGTGGGGAAAAAACACCATTGCCTGGTATTTAAGTGAAATGTGTACACATTATATATGATCATCAGGAAAGAAATAAGTCACTTATAATTGTGGCTGAAGAAAATGGTATATTGGTGCCCTTAAAAGAACAAAGACCTTTAAACTAGATAAGGCATTACTTCCCTTTAATCTAGATAAGCAACATTTCCCTTCAATCTAGACTAGGCATTACTTCTCCTTAATCTAGAAAAGGCATTGCTTCCGTTTAGTCTACATTAGGCATTGCTTCCCTTCAATCTAGATTAGGCATCACATCCCTGTAATCTGTATCAGGCATCACTTCCTTTTAATCAAAATTAGGATTACTTCCCTTTAATCTTGATTAGGCATTACTTCTCTTTAATCTAGAAAAGGCATTACTTCCGTTAAGACTACATTAGGCATTACTTCCCTTCAATCTTGATTAGGCATCACATCCCTTTTATCTGTATCAGGCATTACTTCCTTTTAATCAAAATTAGGCGTCACTTCCCTTTAATCTTGATTAGGCAGTACTTCCCTTTAATCCAGAAAAGTCATTACTTCCCTTTTATGTAGATAAGATATTTCTTCCCCTTAATCTAGATTAGGCATTACCTCCCTTCTGGATTTGGGTATAAATCCTCATATCCAGACGTCTGCATGAAACCAAGCAAGAACAGGAGATCCAAGCACTTGTTACGATCTTCTTCCATTAAGTAATTCAGAGGTTTTGTATATCTTATCAGACTGGATTCACCTTCACACTTCCCATCATATACTATTTTGTTCAAATGATTCTGTGTCATTTCCATATATGTAAAAATGATCTACAATTAAAAAAAGAACCCAACATTCAATATGTATGCTGTTTACTACTTTGACCATATCACTTACATTCTGGTTTTAAATGAATGATTTCCAATCATTTCCATGCAACCCATGATTTTATCAGTCACTTTTACTTTGACTGGGGCCCTCAGATTTGGGAACACGGCATGCTTGAGGAGAAATAAATACTCATTATTTCCCAGTCCACAGTGCTGATGAAGTAAATTTCACTTTTCTTTTGTCGTTTCATGTGGATATCTTTGAAAACTAATTTTCTCTCTAAAATTCCTTGGTTACAGACTCCATAATAACTACAGTTTAAATTATTTTTTGCATTAAAAATCCTATGCACTCTTTTGAGGGACTTTTGATCACATGAAAAACTCATGAAGTCTAGTTCATTTAGAAGATTGTAGATCCATGGTAAGTTATAGTCTAATGTAAGAAAGCATTGTTGAACATGACTAGACTTTCCTGCATGGTCAAATAACTTTTGCACCACCAACTTCACTGTTCGGCCTAACATTTTCTATGAGAGCGATGTGTGTGTGTGTGTGTGTGGGGGGGGGGGGGTTAACATCCATTATGGCAGTAACCAGTAAAAAAAAGGCATTTCATGGAGATAAAACAAGTCTTTTCTTGTTTCAACAAACATTTTTGCTCAATAGCATTCATTTGATAATGCAAAAACTTTCACAAATAGAAGTTTCGATAAATTTACATCTTGAAGCGAGGGGTTGTGCCAAAACCGTAAGTGCTATTGATAAAGATACACATGGATAAAGCATAGGTTTATCTTATTGGTATTATCCACCACACATATGAGATAAATTTTTATTACATGATTAACTTAGTTCAACCCTGGGCCTAAGCCCAAAACCCAGGGGGTATGAAAAACAAAATTTTGGTAGAGTGATCATAATCTTCATTAAAACAGAGTAAACAGTTTGTCTGTTAGATGTGCAGGACCTGCCCTATGGTCCCAAGGGGACAAGGACCTTGAAATTCACAATTTTCTTCCTCTTACCCCTAAAGATATTACACAACAAATTTGGTTGAAATTTAGTATTTTCAGAACTAGAAAAGAATCTAAATATACTTGTTGTTCAAAAGTTTACGAAATTAGCATGATGATGAATGAAAATGGAAAGCAAATGGTCACCTATGTGACTGGGGCAACTAAAAACAATCTATTTTGAATTGAGACCTAACTTATACATTTCAAACAAACACCTTACAATTTATTGATGATAAACTTGACTCAGTTGACAGAAAAGGCCTATGGCTGCATCTATTCGATTTGTTTATTTAAGACATACCTCTGTGCCCTTACAAATGCATCCAACAACCATTGTTGGAGCAAAGGCAGATGATCGCAGTTCTGAAAGTAACTCTCCACCATGCTGTCCAAGTACATTTATGCTAAGTATTCTGTGTATGTAGTTTCCAAATGTCTGATCAGAATCTGATAAATTTCCACCTGAAGTTTTTGTTTTTCTTGACTCAAATTGCCTATTTTCTGGAAATGGCTCATCCTTTTTTGCCTGAATTATAGAATGACAAGAGATAATAAACAGCAAAGTTATTTCAGTAAACTAAAATGTTGTCTCCCCTTTGAAATACAGTAAAACCTCGTTATCTCGAACTCAGTGGGACCAAGAAAAAACTTCGAAATTTCTGTGGATTTGAGATATCCAGGGTAAAATACTTAAAGAATAAGGGGTTGGGACTTCCAAATCACTTCGACATATCCATGGTATTCGAGATATCAGTGTTTGAGATATCGAAGTTCAACTGTAGTTATTTAGAGCCTAGAGGAGATAATGGCACATAACACATCCTTTTATGGTGACAATACACACGCCAGAAATCAAAAGTTTACATTAAAAGATAAGAAAAATATTTCTCATCAATTAAACAAATAATTTAACTCTGAGTTCAAAGTTCAAGGACATATTTGGATCATGAAACACCATCTAATGATGATGCACATAAACCAACATGCAAAATATCATAATTCTAGATTAAAAGAGAACAATGGAGTTCTATTCCAGACAGATAACTTGCCAAGAGAAATACTAGAAATATAACCATTGGAAATGAATGCTCTTCTCAAGGTACCTTTGTATTGCAATATGAAAAAAACTGTACCTTCCATCATTGGTGCAATATAAAAGTAAAATATGACAGGGCTCTCACACCACTTTTTGGGACTGGGGCCGTTCAAATTGGGAAAATCTTTGTCATTTGGGGGAAAAATTGGGAAATCTGGTTCCTTATCAAACCGGAACCAGTTTACGAATATAGGTGGCATGCACTAATTTATACAGTTCAATGCAGAACTAGTTTGTTTCACTTTCACTTTTCAGCCATTAAGTTTCATCAATTAAGATTTAAAAAAAAAATTGCTATAAAAAATTGGGAAATTTACACTTGGCTTTTGGGAAAAAAGGTACCTTTTTTGCATTGGGAATGGGGCCATTCAACGGCCCCAATTATAAAGAATCAAGAGCCCTGTTATGATGAGAGTAGGATTTTTTTTTTCATATACAAAACTGATACCCTCAGTATAGTTGTTGTCCTTTATAGAATGTTACATAGCATTGATTCATTCCATCTATCATCTAACAACTAAGTGAAGTCTCATGATTTCAAGTTCAAACTCTCATATTTGGTAAATTTTTATACATGATCTCTAAATTATGTAGAGTTAAAATGTTACAGAGATTTGTCTGCATGTGGAGTTTTGTTAAGTAATCATTTATGAAATTTTATTAAAAAAAAAATGAGTCAAAGAAAAAAATTATGACACACTTTTCAAAATAAAATTGCCCTCACAATTTTGTATCAGTATACAAAGTTTGATGAAAATATCTTAAAAACATTCTTTAAAGCTAAAACAAAGAAAACTAGGAATAGTGGGGTCAAGGTAATAGGAAAGGCCAAGGTCAAAAACAAAGACAAAGATGTATAGCTTATTAATTTGTATCTTTGTATGAAGTTTGATGAAAATATCTTGAACATTTTCTTTGAAACTAAGATAAAAGCAAAAAAAAAAAGGAATAGTGGAGTCAAGGTCAAAGGAAAGTTCAAAGTCAGAAAATTGTGACACAGTTGAAAAGCTCCGAGCAAAATGTATCAGTGAACAAGTTTCGATGAAAATATCTAAAATAGTTACATTGAAACTGAGCTAAACACAAAATAAGGAATAGTGAGGTCAAAGGTCACAGAAAAGGTCAAGGTAAAAAAAAAAGACAGTTAAAAATGTAATGGCATACAAGTTTTGATTAAAATATCTTGAAATGAGTTAAACACAAAATAGAGAATAGTGAGGTCAATGTCACAGGAAATGTCAAGGTCAGAAATTTATGACACAGTTGAGTAGCTCTCAGCAATCTGTATACAAATTTTATTTTATCAATCTTGATCAGCTACTTTGAAACTGAGCTAAACAAAGTGTGATGGATGAAAAGACAGATGACATGTCATACAGTATATGCCCTGTTCATATTCATGGTGGGGCATTAACAAACAGACAGACTTGAAATTTATACATGTAAAAACATAGGTAATCAAAGATTACGAAGCTCACCTCAATGAATGATATCTTTCAGTACTTGGCAAATCTCACATCATATTTTTTCCTAATTAGTGGGTATCCCAAGATCAATATCCATGCAAGTTTGGTTTATTTAGGACTTATAGTTAATTGGAAATGGACCTGCTCCAAAAACTTTTACTTGTTCACTAATCAAGAAAATGTAGGTCAGTTCCAACATCCTGAAGCAAGACTGGAAGTGTCCATCCCTAGAAGCATCATCCATGCAAGCTTAGTCATAACAGGCCATATAATTATAGAGCTACTCCAAAAAAATATCCTGTTCACTCATCTGGAAAAAAAAGGTCAAATTCAGTATCCAAAGCAAGTCTAGAAGTGTCCATCCCTAGATACATCATCCATGCTAATTTTGTTAAAGTATGGCAAAAATTCACTCATCTGGAAAATGTAGATCAGATCCAGCATCCAAAGCATGTCTGGTAGTGTCCATCCCTAGATGCATCATCCATGCAAGTTTGTTCCAAGTAGGGCTTATAGTAACTTGGGAAAGGACCTGCTCCAAAAACTTTAACCTGGTCACTCATCTGGAAAATGTAGGTCAGATCCAGCATCCGAAGCATGTCTGGTAGTGTCCATCCCTAGATGCATCATCCATGCAAGTTTGGCCCAGGTAAGGCTTATAGTTACTTGGGAATGGACTTGCTCCAAAAACTTTAACCTGGTCACTCATCTGGAAAATGTAAGTCAGATCCAGCATCCGAAACAAGTCTGGTAGTGTCCATCCTAAGATGCAACATCCATGCAAGTTTGGTCCAGGTAAGGCTTATAGTTACTTGGGAATGGACTTGCTCCTAAAACTTTAACCAGGACGCCGAAGCCAACGCCGGGGATATAGCATAAGCTCATCTCAACTTCGTCGAGGTGAGCTAAAAATCAAGTAATCTATTGATCTTGAACAATAAATTTTCAAGGAAACTTGACATGTTTTGTTCTTACCATGCTTCTCAGCAATCCTAACTTACCTCTGTAAGCATCATCAGAACACTGCGCTGAATTGTGTTTAACCATGTGAACCTTATATCTGGAATGCAGGATACTACATGTGAACCAATGATTAACCGTTTCACTTCCTTGTCACCCAATCTACAACATAGGAATGTCATGATAAAAGATGGCCATGGGCCAAAGTGGTCATCTGATTGATCTCATCCTTCTTGACAAATGAATGTAAAATAAAAATCCATGAATGAGGTTTAACCCTAGCCTCAAGGGTCATGGTATCAACAAATTTGATTCTGCACTATAAGAGGATGCTTTGAAAATAACTAAGCATATTGAAACTTTATTTTTGTAAAAAGAATTTTCTCAGAAGAAAGTGGCCTTGAAATTTCTCAAATCATAATTCCCTCACCCAAGGAAACTTTGAAACAAATTTACTACTATTACTTATGACTGAGGAGGAAAAATTAGATGTGCAAGAAAAAGCGTTGATGACCTTCCTCATCCATTGAAATCAGCATGTGAGGATGATGTTGTGAGTTTTGGACTGAATGGTACATGTAGGGGTTTAATAGCAACAATAGGAACTGATAAACTGACTGAGATGTGCATGAAAACTGTGTCTGTAGGATTAACAAGCTCTTAATCATACATGTACTGATGACTGCCAAAAATAATTTGTTATCATAAATGGCTTAGATTATTCCTGAAGATGTTTATTTTTAGAAATACAAAGTACTGATGAGATGCAGTTATAATATTTCAAAAAGACTTGCATGTTTAATAATTTACATATTAATATAAATGTTTATCTGCGTCAACTGCATGTCTATCCTAAGCTGACAACAGGAATGGTAGAATAACAGTTGTTCACAATTGACTGAAAATCAGACCAATGAACATTAACTTAAATAGAAAAATATGCATTCAATATTGAAATGCACAGTAAATATATTTATAATCATTATGATATGTTACATGAAAATATATGTATGTATGAAAGTAAAAGTTATAAGGGACAAAGACGGAAATGTCCTGATGAGTCAACATGTTGCTTTTTAATACTACTTCAATTCCACAAATTCTTAATTATCTCCCCTTGAAAGAGGGCGCTAACTTCCTGTGAACAAACTTAAATCCCCCTCATCCAACTATGCATTGTGGCAAGTTTGGTTGAAATTGGCCCAGTGGTTCTTGAGAAAAAGTTGAAAATGTGAAAAGTTTACAGACTACAGGCAGACACCAGACACTTTTTGATCAGAAAAGCTTGAATTCATGCTTACTATCAGGTCCCTAAATGGTGGATCTAAAAAAAATTTGGTCATCATTTCAAAATTTCAGATTACCATCAACAATATATTTCACTCCTTTAAAAAAAATGCTAGGAGGTTAAATGAACCACTTACAAAATATTGTCATTACATACAACCACTCCTAATTGGTTGTACACAGTTAAAATAACATAAGAGCATACAATGATCTGATCATGGAATTGAAATTAAACAAGAGGCCCAAGGGCCTTGAATCACTCTTCTGATAAACTGTACAACCTATCTCTTCTATTTGAAGCCTCTAAGTATCCAGTATATTTAGATAAACCCTTGAAATTCCAATGCACACTCTGAGCACCCAAGATGATTCTAAGCCAATTAGTACCTGAGAGTTGGTCATGGTGACCTACTTATCACTTGTCATTCTCTGAGGACCCATCAACTAAGTTTGATGATTCTAAGCCAATTAATACCTAAAATATTTTTTTAAATTATAACCATAAAATTTTATAAGTAGGTCAAAGTGACCTACTTTTCAGTTGTTGTACTCCGAGGACCCAATATACATCGACTGACAAAGTTTGATGATTCTAAGCCAATTAGCACCCAAAATATTTAATTAAAGCCATAAATTTTCAAAGTAGGTCACGGTGACCTACTTTTCAGTCAACCTACCCAGAGGACCCAAGATGCATCAACTGACAAATTTTGATGATTCTAAGCCAAATAGTACCCAAAAATATTAAATACAGCCATAAAATTTCAAAAGTAGGTCACTGTGACCTACTTTTCAGTTGTTGTACTCCAAGGACCCAAGATGCATCAACTGTCAAAGTTTGATGATTCTAAGCCAATCATTACCCAAAATATTTAATTAAAGCAATAAATTTTCAAAAAGTAGGTCACGGTGACCTACTTTTCAGTCGACCTACTCCGAAGACTCAAGATGCATCAACTGACAAAGTTTGATGATTCTAAGCCAATAAGTACCTGAAATATTTAATTAAAGCCATAAATTATCAAAAGTAGGTCACATTGACCTACTTTTCAGTTGACCTACTCCAAAGACCCAAGATGCATCAACTGACAAAGTTTGATGAATCTAAGCCAATTAGTACCTGAAATATTTAATTATAGTCATATAAATTGAAAAGAAGGTCACAGTGACCTACTTTTCAGTTGACATTTTTTGAAGACCCAAGATGCATTAACTTACAAAGTTTTATGATCATAGGCCTTAAAATGTCCAAATTATGCCTCCAAAACGCTTTGAAATCAAATGCCTGCAAAGTTCAAAAAGAAGGTCACTGTGACCTACTGTTTAATAAATATGTTTTATGGTCCCAAGATGCATCATCTCACAAGATTTAATGATTCTAAACCTCTCGGTATTCGAATTAATGACCTTAATTGTTTTGAAAAAAATTTAGCAATAAAATTCAAAAAGTAGGTCAAGGTGACCTACTTTTTAGTTGACGTACTTCGAGGACCCAAGATACATCAACTGACAAAGTTTGATGATCATAGGCCTTAAATTGTTCAAAATATGCCTCTAAATCATTTTGAAAAAGAATGGCCGCAAAATTATAAATGTAGGTCACCGTGACCTACTTTTGAGTAAACATGATATGAGGTCCTTAGATGCATCACCTGACAAGATTTGATGATCCTAGTCCTTATAGTAAGCAAAATATCAACATTTTAATAAAATGTAATTTTTTGTCAACTTTGAAGTGACCTTGAGACCACGCCCTTTGCCCCAGGGTGATGCCTTCAACAATTTTAATCTACAACATATCCTCATCCTTTTGTGTAAGGTTGGTGATAATCTGCCCAGTGGTTCTTGAGAAGAAGACTTTATAGCAACCAGTACTTTTGTTTCTATTTTCCTAATTATCTCCCCTTGTTTAAGGGTCACAACCCTAGTTTTAGTACAAAAGGGAGCCCTTGGGCCAAGGATACCCTGTGACAAATTTGACAATAATTGGCCAAGGGGTTCTTGAGTTATGGCCCATATTCTAAAAGGTTTACTCACACCTCACAAATGGCCATAGCAGTAGCTCTTTGAGCCTTTGGCTCAGAAGAGCTAATGAAATGCAATGAGTTTGATTGATGTGTTCATAAGGCTGTCACCTATAGAGGACTTTCATATTTACAACAGTTAGTTCCCTTTACAGGGACAATCTATGGTCAACTGGTGTATTAGGCACTGTTTTCCCTCTATAACATTACCAAATTTATGGGACAATGTTTTACAATTTTAAGTGGTTAATTATAGAAACCACACTGAATGTACAATACATACATATGCTGGATGATCTTTAATCAGAAAAGCTTATTTGAGCTTCTGGCTCAGGTGAGTTAGTTGAAGGACAGAAGCTAGAGACTAAGTGATCACTTTGTGTTGTATTTCTTATTTTATGTCTGACATAAAACTGAAATATTTATTACATGGTACGTACTCTGGTTCCAAGAAAAAAATTTTGGAGAACACCATGAACAGTTCTTTTAAGCAAGCTTCTCTATCTGGTTTTGCTAACCAACTCTCAGTCATGCTCGAGTTCATTTTATCTAGGAATTTTTTGTAGTAGTTGAGGAAACTTCGCACGTTGTGAGACCAAGCAAAGAATAACCTGTAACAAAGGAAAAAAGGAATTTCTGATGAATAAAAATTCCATTAAAAATATTTTCATGTTTTCCTATATATGAACATATAAATATGCTGTTAGAAATATGTGTATGTATGTACTACTGTTTCAAGTCTTTTATAGACTACCATTTAGTAATAAAAGTCTCATGAGCAACAAGGTTCACTTAAGGACAGACGATACGTTCCTCAATAATATATAATTTTTTCCAAGATTTTGTCATTAAAGTATTGCTACTTTAACATGTTTACTCACAAAAAAATTGAGGTACCTTACCAGGCATTTGTGCAAGATACCAGAGGTAGTTTTTCTTATATAATCCTTTGGGGGGGAAAATTAATTTACCAATATCAATTTTTTTAGTGTTTGGACTTTTTAAAGACGTTTAGAAACTGGTTTAGAAATCAGAAGGTAGTTAAAATTTTGAATATTTTTCATACATTATGAAGATATACAAAACAGATATTTGAGGAACGTATCGTCTGACCTTAAATCTAACAGAATAATGAATTTAATAAACATGGACACCTTATTGTTGTCTAAGCTAAGTTCTAAATTTGAACAAATAATCCTATAAAGCAATTGAAAACTTGCATGTAATTAATTACAGGTATTAACCCTTGCTGCTACTTGGTGCCTATATGTACAATGTACATAAATGTAGGCATAGTAATGTTTTCTGCAATCCCCATATATTTGGGGCATCCGTGTGAGCTAGCTGCCTTAAAGAATCAACATGTTTCATACTTTATTCTGAATAGGTCCATCACATGTATTTTGAATAAATTCCAAAGTTCTTCTAAATTTATAAATTGTAACATCCCTTGAAACTCTATGTTGACTAGAAATATGTCCAAAGGACATGAATGCCCACCTAAGGTACATTTGTATAGCAACATGTTAAGAAATGTACCCTCCTTCTTTGGTCTGAGATTGATTCATCCCATTTATTATTTATCGATTAAAATAATTAAATCTCATTGTTTCAAGTTCATACTCTCATATTTAGCAAACTCTTACATATGATCTCTCAAGTATGATTGCTCTTACAGAGATTTTTCCATGTATGGCATTTTATCAAGTAATCTTTTATGAAATTGTATATAAGATGGAACTAAGAGCAAAATGAGGAAAAAGGTAAAATTCAAGGTGATCATGGTCATAGGGAAGGTCAAGGTCCAAAATTTTTTTGTACTTACCAATTTGTATAAGTATACAAGTCTGATTGGAAATAACTTGAATAAGATGAAGAAATAGTCAGGTCAAGGTCATTAAAAAGGAAAAAAAAAAAAATAGATACAGTTTAATAATATATTAATCACCAATATATATCTTATAATATGAAGTGTGATTAAAAAATCTAAGGAAGTGAAGTTCAGGGGCATGGACAGGTCAAAATCATAAGGGAGGTCAAGGTCAGAAAATTATGTGATATCAGACAAATTGCATAGTAAATTAAAGATCATTAGAAGTAAACTACAGGATATATTAAGTTACTTTCTTCAATCATCAACCATCGAAAAGAAATCACTGAACTGCTCTAGCAGCCACCTGTTTTCAGAGGCCAATTTTTCTGAATCTTACTCTCTGATTTTTTTTTTTATAATTACTTAATTTTAATTTCTTTCAGCAGCTATTTGCCACTTTTTTTTGAGGGGGGGGGGATAAGCTATAAGATCCTGTATTAACGTAGAACCTACGTCGTGTGATGTCATAGTTAAGTGAACGAATGCAAGACTGTCTCAGCTATTGAAAATACACATTATTAGTGAATGATATGCAACTATTTTGAAGGAATGCAAAGTTGCTAAGAAATCTTCAGTCAACTTTTAAATAGTACAATATCTTGATATTCGTCTTAGTCTTAAATCTATCAAAGATTGTGTTTATAATGTTTGTAATGTCTATTATGAAATGTATTCATTTTTATAATTATTTCTTAATTATTAATTTGGATTTTTAGTGGTTTGTGTATAATAATAACATTTCGATAAAATACTAATTTTTTTAAAAAGAGATTTTCATTTTTTGATAAATATTCATATTGTAAATCTGAAAGTAACACCAAAACATTCATTTAATCACGAAATCCTGTGTAAGTGCAAAAAGGTCAACATGACAAGTATTGATAAAAAAAATCTCTCTCATTAGTTTGCAGGGAAAGGAATATATTTTAATCATTTTTCGTAATCATTTGGGTATGTTCTTCATCATTTTAAGGATTGTAAACAGGGCACTGTCACAAAGACTTTTGGTAAATATTTACAAATTTAGGGTTGTAGATGGACTAAAAAATTCTTTGAAATATATTGAGCGCATTTGCCTATATTTATTGAAATGTGGATTTAATCTTTTAATGTCAATTGATGGAAAACGAATTCAATTTTTAATAATATTTCTAACTATTCTTTAGTTAATACAGTCTATAAACTAAGAGTGCAATGATAAACCTTTTGACGGTATATCGCGGTATATTTTTCCATGGTTCAATTCACGATACACTAAACTGATACCGTGGTTTGGTTCAATCGGTCCAGAATTATCCGAACCGTCCATTTTGTTTCCTTGTTTACAATTTCAAAATGGCTTCCGTGCAAAACGTGAGGTCGACATAACGCATTAACGGCAGTTAAACTCATCTCCAGCATCTTACAGACCTCAGATTTAACACGGAGAAGGACTATGTGATTAAAAGTTATAGATGTTAAGACAAATGATAAACCCTTTAGATCTAAACATATTCTTTGGTAATACACGATATCTCATGACGTGTGTATTTCAATGAAAATTCGCTGTCTTGTTGACTAAAATGTGTTAATACGAGAAATATGACAACTGGATTTCTACATAAATAAAAGAATAAAATGTCTTCCTTTTTCATTCCAAATTAAAAGGAAGATTATTAGGAAAGGTCCCCGTAGTTCCCTGTAAATGTTCATCACTGGTTTAGAATATTGTCAAAACTCAAAGATCTACCTATCAATCTATTTCAAGTTAACAAAATAATATTTTATTTATTATCAAAAATATGAACACTTGATATAACCCTGTCAAGTTTAAAAAAAATATGATGACAAACTTGAAAGACTTTTTAACCTTGTCATGTATCGTGATACGTATTGTATCATGAACTGAATACCGCGATACGTATCGTATCGTGAGGTTAGTGTATCGTTGCACCCCTACTATAAACAAAGGTGTTTGAAGAAGTATTTTTGTGATTCACAATCACTATATTTTACTTATGACCATACTCATTTTCTACTTATACCCCTAAAAATGACTGAAAATTATAGTTGCAGTGAATAATAATCATTCTAAATTGCACGGCTGCACTACATTTAATGACAAGGAAACATGCCATGTATTTTTAACTGATTAATAAGCAACTTGTGCTAATTACTCATTTTGAAAAGTTTGAAAATCCTGTGACAAAGACTTTTCTACATCTACCTAAGTGTTAATTACAGGATCATGGGTCAGGATGAAGTCTTTGGCAACCTCTCCAAGTGATGCAGTAAATGAGTATGACCTTAACTACACAGTTAAAATTGTAAAAATATACTTACGCTTTGTTTCGCCATTCTTTGCCAAGATATTCCTCCTCTTTTATTAATATATCATTGATAAATGCATCAAAATCATTCAGAATTTTACGTGCCTTTGTCATAGAATCGGATATTATATCCAAACTTTTCAGTGTTTCTTTTTCTGGTACTTCCAGAGAAAAAATAAGGCCTCTCTTGCATAACATTTTAAGGATAGAAAGAAAATCTGGCATTTTCTTATCACACACCTCCCGCGCTCTTGATTGAATTTTGGCACTGAATTCTTCAATACTTATTGGATTGTTGTCATATGTTATTCCGTATTCTACCAACGTTTTCGTGGTCCACTTTGAAATAACATGACGGTCGGCATGAAGGTGCGATTTTTTGGGTCTTGCACGATAGTTCGTTGCTGTATCGCTTGAACTCGAAGAATCATGAACGGATGACATTTGCCTTTTTCTTTTAAATTTGGGAGGCTTAAATCGCTCTTCTTCTGTTGATGCCATTGTGAAAGTGAAACAATTTGGTATCCCGTGCCCGATCGCTCACAAAAGAACGACGTGCTGCGATGAACTGATGAAGTGAAAGCCAAACTTACTTTGACACTTTCATGTAGTCCCACCCTAAAACGGGATCCACTTTTTAAAGCAATTAATGAAATATGAAGATAGCGAACAGTATTCAGTCTCGAAAGTCAAATGAAACGATACAAATTTGGAGCAGAGTAAACACAGATCTCAAAATTTAGAGGTGGGATCAGGTGCCATGGTGGAGTGAGCATCCCCTGCCGACCGGTGTCGCATAATATTTGGTCCGCCTCGTTTAAAGGTCCGGGGGGACCTAATACGATATCATATAAGGTCCGCCTTTTATAAGAAAAGGTCCGGCCCGTATAAGAAAAGGTCCGCCGAAGTGGTCCGGGTGGTGCAAAATGTTTTAATCTTGACTTAAACACATAAAATTAAAGAGAGTTTGTTTACATCATATGAAGAAAGATTAAGGATTTACCCTAGCTGTTGTGTTTATTTTTTTGTACAATATATCTCTAAGGGCAGGAATTGCTACTCCATGTTTAGTGTGCTTTTAGCAATACCGTTTAGGGCAATGATTTTAAAAAAAAATGTCGCATTTATTGGGCTTGTGTTTGTTTTTCCACAGCATTTGCTTTGTGTAAATTAGGACGATTAAAGGTGTGGAATCTGCCGGTGTGTATAGGCAATAAAACAATGGGGGTGTGAAGTATTCGTATACTTGACAGGTACCCGCAGGTATATAGAGCCCGCGGCAGATAGCAATGACAATGTAATGGTCACGTGTTTGCTTTAAATCAATAGATATGAATTCTCTATATTAATAAATTATGCTGAAGAACAAATTATAATACTATTATGATATTCATACGTACACATCAAAATTGTGATATAATTATATAATTATATATAGTCTATTTTTATTACAATATTTAAAGAAATTTCTTATTCCAAGTGTATGTAGAGTTTAATACTACGACCGATAAAAAATAAAAACATGTATATTATGCTTCCCTTTAGTTTTAACAATTAACTTGTTTTCAGTTTATAATAATATTTTGCCCTTTATTTGTGGATAGGGTAATTTATAGCCTAATGTTGTATTCGATCTATATTTACTGCAGAAACAAAATACATGTAATGTTAAAGCTTAAAACAGGTAATTCAATATTGAAAACATATACATCAGATTTAAAGTATAATCATGGTTTGGATTTAATTCTTTCTTATAAAAATATCACTCTTCCTCGTCATAATGAACTACATATGAAAAAATATTTCATTTTTGTATTTTTTTTTTTTTTTTTTTTTTTTTTTTTTTTTGCCAAAAGAAAAAGAATTTACACATTTTACTGTGACTATAATAGACAGACTGTGGGATAATCTAGCAGGCTGTATTGCTTGACAGATTAAAATTTGAAATCATTATTGTAAAATATTTTCTTTTATTACCGACATGAAGCATTTTGGGCAAAGTTGAATGTCCAGTTCTATATACAAGTCATTTATGTATCTCACGTCTGTATGAACGGGGGAAGGGGGAGGGAACATCAGTTGATCCTCATCCCTTTTTTTTGCGTATCAAGGAATTTCTATTTTCTACATTAATTTGTGCTTTAACCCCCCCCCCCCCCCCCCGCCCACAAATGCACCCAGAAATATACGGAGTAATACTGAGCTGTCTGGAGCTTGATTGAGAGTGATCTCCCGTGTAGAATTTTCTACGCGGTGAAAACCAATAAAGTGTATTGTTTAGTACCACTACACCTGCTCAAGAGTTTTTGAAAAATTCTTTACGAAAGCTAGGAACTTTGCCAATCTCCTTAAATTATCCTTTTCGAAGTCCTCAGTCATTCTCCGTGGTAACCATGGAGGAAATAATACAATCGGTCTCATGTAGTCATGACAGAATTTTTGAAGTTCGATTTTCATAAATGCTATACATTGCACATATGTTGTTTCGGATATTACCTAACAATTTTGAATAATGATTATACAGGCGCGGATCAAGAATTTTTCCGGGGGGGGGGGGGGGGGCATCCCAGTCAAAAAAATTTGTAACCCAAAAATTTCTTGAGAAGGAAGAAAAAAACGTAAAATCCAATTCCATTTCCAAAACGTGAAAAACACCTATTTCGTGGTGGTGATGGTAGGGTCCACGTTTTCTAAGGGGCCCAAAGTCATTTATTTACTTCAGTACTCTGCAAATTCCAGATGGGGGGGGGGGTCCCCCGACTGCCCTCCCCCCTAGATCTGCGCATGTTATATGAATAATTTCGGTAGTGGCTGGAGAAATTTCCGGTAATACATTGCATCTCAGGTGAGGAAGGGGGGGGGGGGGGTGGCAATAACACCTTCTTTAAATTTCCATCTGCTCATTGCGTATCAAGTACGTAGAAAATAAACACCATCTGGTGTATTACAGATTTCTTTTTACTTGTCACACAAGGCATTTACCACATACATTATGTACGTAGTGTTGATGAACCCCTTTCTTATTTTTAAGGTGATTATTTTCCCAAATCTTTGTATGAATACAGAAACAAATACTCCCTCTTTTTCATGCTATATGAATCAAAGTCTATAGATACGGATACAGTACAACTAATATGATCATTCTAACATAACATTTTTGTGATATACATGGATAATAAATCTGAACATATCTTTTGATTGTATGTGGTGAATATATTCTAGATAAATATACATTGTACTACCATTATACATTCAGATTCGTCACTGCCTTTTATAAAAGAATCGTCCTACGATTTTCCAAGACCTTGACATAAAATAAGAGGCCCATGGGCCACAACGCTCACCTGAGTCAATAAGGCCTGCTGTTTTTCATCAGCAAATTTATTCTAACATATCTTCCAATGTAAAACATTAATCACTATTGTGACCCCACCCTACCCCAGGTGTCATGATTTTTATAGATATAGCGCTAGCCCCACCCTACCCCACGGGGTGACGGGTCATGATTTAAACAAACTTGAATTTACACTACCTCAAGATACTTCTATATCAATGTGACTAAACATGGCTTTGTTGTTCCTGAAAAAAAGGTTTTAGAATTTTTTTCCTATACATTCACATGCTAAACCCTGATAGTGCATTGTGGCCCATCCTACCCCTAGGGGGTCATGGTTTGATAGATTGATTGATTAGGGTTTAACGCCGAGTCGGCTATATTTCAGCCATATTCCGGCGGAAAATTAATTTTATATGACCTGTTATCATGGTTTAAACAAATTTGAATCTACAATACCTGAGGATGTTTCCATATCAATCTGACTAAAGATGGCTTTGCTGTTCTTGTGGAGAAGATTTTTCGATATATATATATATCCTATGTAAAACTTTGATCCCCCATTGTGACCCCACCCTACCCCGGGGGTCATGATTTGAACAAACGTACATCTACACTAACTGATGATGCTTCCATATTAATATGACTAATCATGACATTGTTGTTCTTAAGAAGAAGATTTTTGAAGACTTTTTCCTAGATATTCCTATGTAAAACCTTTATCCCCCGTTTTGATCTATCTATTACAAAGAGAAAATTATAGACAGGGTTTTTTTCTGTAGCATGAAAAATAGAGAAAGGGGCAGGGCGGACCTTAAAACGCAGTATAATAAAAGCCCCGCCTTCTGTATTTCAGATATCGTACTATTACAAGGCGAAAACTTTGAACAGGTTTATTTTCGTAGCATAAAAGCTAGAGAAATAGGCAGGGCGGACCTTAAAACGCAGTAAAATAAAAGCTCCGCCCTCTGTTTTTCAGATATTTTACCATTAGAAAGCAAACATTTTGGACAGGGTTTATTTCCGTAACATAAAAACTAGTCAAAATGACAGGGCGGACCTTAAAACGCAGTATAATAAAAGGTCCGCCCTCTATATTTCAGATATCTTACTATTAGAAGGCGAAAATTTTGAACAGGGTTTATTTTCGTAGCATAAAAATTAGAGAAAGAGACAGGGCGGACCTTAAAACGCAATATAATAAAAGGTCCGCCCTCTATATTTCAGATATCTTACTATTACAAGGCGAAAATTTTGAACGGGGTTTATTTTCGTAGCATAAAAATTAGAGAAAGAGACAGGGCGGACCTTAAAACGCAGTATAATAAAAGGTTCGCCCTCTATATTTCAGAAATCTTACTATTACAAGGCGAAAATTTTGAACAGGGTTTATTTTCGTAGCATACAAATTAGAGAAAGAGACAGGGCGGACCTTAAAACGCAATATAATAAAAGGTCCGCCCTGTATATTTCAGATATCTTACTATTATAAAGCGAAAATTGTGAACGGGGTTTATTTTTGTAGCATACAAACTAGAGAAAGAGACAGGGCGTACCTTAAAACGCAGTATAATAAAAGGTCCGCCCTCTATATTTCAGATATCTTACTATTACAAGGCGAAAATTTTGAACAGGGTTAGAAAGAGACAGGGCGGACCTTAAAGCGCAATATAGTAAAAGGTCCGCCCTTTATATTTCAGATATCTTACTATTACAAGGCGAAAATTTTGAACAGGGTTTATTTTCGTAGCATAAAAACTAGAGAAAGAGACAGGGTGGACCTTAAAACGCAGTATATTTAAAGGTCCGCCATCTATAATTCAGATGTCTTACTGTTAGAAAGAAAACATTTTGGACAAGGTTTATTTCCGTAACATAAAAACTAGTCAAAATGGCAGGGCGGACCTTAAAACGCAGTATAATAAAAGGTCTGCCCTCTGTTTTTCAGATATCGTACTATTACAAGGCGAAAATTTTGAACAAGGTTTATTTTCGTAGCATACAAACTAGAGATAGGGCGGACCTTAAAACGCAGTATAATAAAAGGTCCGCCCTTTATATTTCAGACACCTCACTATTACAAGGCGAAAATTTTGAATAGGGTTTATTTTCGTAGCATACAAACTAGAGAAAGAGGCAGGGAGGACCTTAAAACGCAGTATAATAA